CATCCAAATGATTCTAGTGAAGTTGTGGAGAACTTCCTGTATTTCCTGTATCCTATATTACCACATTACATCAAAAGGCGGAACAGAGTGTTTTCTGTTTGAGAGAAGAACTAGAGCATAAATATGTAGGTTTTCTATTAATTTTAAGTAAATCAGTTCTATCACTAGGCAGTTGGGAAGTACTCTTTGTTGTGCATGCTGCCCTTCCCCGACATAAATTATTCAATCGATAAATCTAAAAGTGGGTCCAGTCACAGGATGATGGTGGTGTGACGAAGCGAGAGACACAGGAGGGAGGGCTTGGGTTACATTACTGACCTCTATATTAAATATGCAGACATTAGAATATGTAGAATTTTGCTGATCTGATACATGTTTTTTGTTGATCTGAATCAGGAATCATAAATCTCTCTTCAAATAGGCCAGTCAAAAGTGGTGACTTATGAATTGAATTGTTTATGTGTTTGCTTTGTATATTGTGAGAGGTAGTGGAAGATGGATGAGGCTTTTAGATAATGGAAAGTCTCTATACTCAGAGTGAGGCAGAAGTGGTGCAAGCAGCTGCAGTCTGTTTTCATCGAGAGGCACTGAAGTGAGGAACATGGGAAGAAGAATAAGGGCCAAAAAGTGCCAGTTGATGAGATCAGAGTTGACCTATGATGAGATCACACTTCATACAGTGGGTTCAACAAGTTTTCATAGCCTTGTTAAATCATTCAATTGTAATATTGTGCATATAGTCAGATACAGATCACACCAATCACACATACAACAGCAGATACAATTTCCTGATGGTTTATTAATTGTGTGTCAGTTTTGCATGTTTTTGTTCAGTCCAAAGCATACCATGCTCACTACCCTTATACCCTTATAAAAATATTAAAAATTACGCTAAAAGGACATAAATTCCTATAACCAAAAGTTTCACCTATTTCTTCTTTATAAACTATTTATTTAATTGTTTTAATCTCACTAATATTTGTCGTATTTGTTTGGTGTTAGATCATAGCGTCTCGCTCATTAAGTTGCTTGAAAACAATGCTGGGCCTTACCAATACAGGTGTTCCTCGACCATTTTAGTAACAGCTCTGGAGACCGCTCTCTCTTCCGGCGTGAGGTTCTTGTTGAGATTGATTCCAAATTTTTCTTCAAGAAAATCTATGATAAACTCTGACCCTGAGACCTGCTCATGGTTGTACTCTATCCAAGGCATCTTTCCCTGTGGTGACAGTTTCCCATCAAAGTAATTCTGTAAAATAAAAGCTTAATTTTAGTCACAAAGCATTTGTACACATTTCTAATGTACTAGTAGGGCTACCTAATATGTTCCTAATTTAAACAGTATGGCATTTGGTCCTCCTAATCCTACCAACAAGATGGAGACCTGATTTAGTCTTTATATTTGTGCTACTGTTGAAACTATAACTACAAAAGTGTGGGTAGTCAGTCAATACTATCACAAAAGGAAATCTAAGCATTGACAGATATTGCCAAACATAAAATAACAGGCAACTAAAATGAGCGAATGACCTGGTATGGCAGATCCACCATCCGCAGATATGTCTCTATTTTGAGGCAGAAAGGTGAGAGGCTGGGCACGCCGTTCTTTGGCCTGGAAAACTGATGGAGTATGATAGCATCTTTAGAGTCCAGCTCCTGCTCCTTCCTACAGTAATTAAAACACAATATGTTATCAAGTTAGTAAAAGAATATGTATACATATTTTATATGTCTAGGTTAGTTTCAAATATTAAGCCAAATAGCTTTAAAACATATATGAGTGGTGAAAGTGTATGTACCACTAGTTTTCAATCAAAAGGGTGACAAACAGACAAGCAGATGACTTTGCTGGTAAAATAACCTAGAAGGACACAGCAAAAAGCTACGAGATAGTTAATCATAATTCTAATTACATAAGGATGATCATAAGATAAGACTATGTTAAAACATATAATATGCACCTTAATACATTAGCCAATACTGCTGTTTGCTTTAGTATCTCTGTCATAAGTGACCTCCTGTGTTCAGCTCTGAATTATTTAGTGAAGCATACTGTGGTGCCCTGTATCTGTACTCAGGAGCTCTAATGACAAAAGCCAAGATCAGATTTACTGTACTATATTGAGTATAGCTGAGTGAATACAGTCACATATCTTGTAGTGCTGAAATTAGATGTTTGGTCGCTGTCCACTGCCATGTGGTGCTGAAATCTATGCGTCTTCCAGGTGCACTAAAATCAATACAAATATTTATTTTGATTATTAATATAGATTAAGTAAATACCAATGCCAAGAGTAAAATTGAATAATTATATTTTCATTTGCAAAGCAGCGGTGTGAATTAGAGTGAAGTAATATAAGTGTAGTAAGAATAGGTGAACAAGTTGAATACAACACAGTGCTGTGCAACAGTGATCATTTAAAACCATAAAGAAATATGAAAATAAATTGACCGTTTAGCAGAATGTGATAGCAGAACTCGATAGATGGCGTTAAATATGTGTGCGCAGAATGAGTCGCTGTCCATGGTACTGAAATATGTGGAAATCCACTAACCAGTCAAGTACACTAATCAATCAATCCTTCCACTTGGTTTCTAGGTCCACTACACATATTGGTAGTAAGATGTTCCTTGATAACAAGCCCCTTAAGGGGGTTCAGACACAAGGATCTGGCAAGGAGACACACAGGGACTGAAAGCGGGCTAGTGTGGGTGCTACGCTCTCTGCCAACATCACATGGCCTAAACAGATGATGCCGGCAGGCTGTGGGCCCGACCGCCAGCAGGCTGCACGTGATTCAGCAACATCAGCGCTCTCTCGCAATACAAGGTTACGCACAGATTATCAGGAGGAGAGAGAGGGAGGAAGGAAGAGATCGGATATAGCAGGCCACTGGTACAGGACGTATTTACTGTGTAGTGGCCCTCATTAGTCCAAAATAAACAGGAATTGGTATCAGATCAAACCCAGAACCAAAGAGAAAGAGCTATTTTCTGGAGACCTGCTTTTTGTTAATAATTTAAGTGGATTTTCATGGTTATTAAGGCATTTTTACTGACTATAGATTGTAGATTTACAAATACATACCAACTTTAATATAGGCTACTGCACCGACAGATGTACATTGACTGAACAGCTGTACCATGGGTTCATTAAAGGTCCACCGAGCTCATTCACGCTCAGGTGACGCTCAGGATTGGCACGAGAGCAGCACACGAGCGTACGCGTGACACACGCTTTATTTATTTATTTATTTATTTTTTCCCTTCACCCAAAGTCGTGTCCTTGGAAGGACGTAAACAGACATCATACTCAAGGAACACTGCATAAGAAATGTGAGATCTACTAGAAAACCACCGGTGCAGTCCGCTCACTGATCCGGGGGAGCATTTAACAAGATTAATTAGATCCAGAGAAATTGTGCTCAATGAAACAGCTTCTGACAACGCGCCTCTCTTACCTGATGGCCAGGAGCTCGTGCAGGAGGTAGGCAGCTGCAGCCAGCAGGGCTCCCCCGGTGATATACAGAGTCTTCTTCCACCAAGATTCGGATCCCAGAGCGGACATGATCCCTCCATAGTCCTGTAAAGGGAACGTGATGATATATCCATACAGAGACTGCTGCTGCTCGGGGCCACACAGCTCGAGAGGCAGGCTGTGGTTCCGCCCGAGCTCCACCACACACGGCCGGCTAGAGGCGAACCCTGCAGCCCAGTACATCCTGCCTCTGTCGGTCACAGCAGTCCCGCATCCACCCCGCCACCACAGTCCCAGGCTGGCTTCATGTTTACGGCATGACAGCGAGAGGCGTCAGATTTGACTCCGTAAAAGACAAAAACCATCTCGCCTTGCCATCTCCGTGAAGACGCTCATGCAAGTCGCTTTCCAGAAACATGCGCAAAGCGTCACACAATCAGCAGTGCACTTCTTCCGGTACCGAATTTCAAACTGGATAATTTCAAAATAATGTCTCAACTAACATGCAAGCTCAATAAGCCAGTACTTAATCATCAGCAAAATACTAAATTATGTATGTTTTTGTTAATGTCCTACAAATACATTCCCATTCAAAGCAACTTATTGCATATTTTTCCTTAATTCTTAGTATCACCAGCTCAACACATCCGGATATTCTCGATATTCATGATGTCCATGGGAACTTGATGCTGCTATTGTTTGCCTCCGTGGTTACCCCGCCCCAACCCAAAGACGAGCCCCTGCGTTCTCCTCTTATCTCTCAGGGCATGTGTTGTGGTGTGTTGTGTGAAAAGTATTGGGCATCATAATGGGTGGATAGGGTGTTGAATAAAAACAACACTAGGCCGATCTGATGATAAAACAAAGAATGGGCTACACTGTACAAACTGACCAAAGAGAAGGTAAAACACTGTGAATGGATTTCGTTTTCCAAATAAAGCATGCAAAAACACTGGCAGAACCACGCAACAGGTATACGCCACATATCCTATGTAGGCTACATCTTATAGACACTTCTCAACAGAGTTACTATGCATTAGATACGGATGGCCTACTTACTCTGGGGCAACATCGGAAAACCAGATGGACGCTCATCTTTTCCACCAGATCTGTTTGTGCGCTTTTTTCTTGTCATGCCGAGAGGTGCGCAAAAACAGTTTCCAGAAAAGACTCTACAGTCCCATCGCCTCTAATAAGCGCCCTAAAAACAATCCCATGTCCACGTAAATTAGAACAAATGGTGACGGTTTAATCTGCGCATCCACACCTCAGTCATGGTTTCATCAAGTTTATGCGCCCTCCCGCGGCACAAGAAAGATAAAACTGCACAGCAAATAATAATGATCTGATGCAAAGGAAAATCTGCCTCTGTTTTGTCTAATGGTCATCAGAATTAATTGCCTGGGGGGGTTGCAGTTTATATTGTGAGTCAATAAAACAAACAAACAAAAGAAGAAAGAAACTATAATCTGAATAATACATTATGTGATGATGACACAAAGGCAGTAGCTTTTAAACTGAAAACAGCTTAACATTTTTATTTTTTTTAATTTTTTACAGCTGTTACATAATAAAACCACAAGGGCTCAGGAAATGTAACTACCCGTGCATGCAACAAAATGCTTTATCTTCTGCACAGCCACACACTGTGGATATCAACACTTGGATTCACTGGCTCTGTTATGTCATGCTATATTCAAAAATTCATTAATTCATTGATATCACACACAATTTCTGTTTTTATCTATTTTGAAATGTGATAATGATACACACTCTCATTTGTCATGATAAACAAAGTAACATGTCACAGGTCTTGCTTTGGTGTGTCCTCAAATAACCCCAGTCTAATGCATCCCAGTCTTTTCAGACTTGCTCGTCTCCTTGGTGACAGGCTCAACCATGTGTTGTGGAGTCCTGTGGGTGGGGACTGTCTTCTTCAACCTGGTGCACAAGGGGCTCGTCTCTTGGTTTGACAGCATGAAGGGCGTAGTTGATGGCTGTACTGTCTGTCCAGCTCCAGGCTCCTGTTACTGGATTGTACAGCATCCCTTTGACAGACTGCACTGAGAAACCATCTGACGAGGGAAAAGATTTAAAAGATTTGAAAAAATGAAACTGTGCAACAACATTTCTTGAGATAGTACTAGTGTGGCAAAAGTAAAAGCACAATATAATACATTTAGAAAATAAACATAACAGCCTGTTATTGACAGACTTACTGGATTCTAGGAGGCGCTCTAGCTCCTCTGGGCTGATAAATTTTTCCCACTCATGGGTTCCCTGGGGAACAATTCGCAGCACATTTTCAGCGACCAGAATCCCCAGTAACCAGGACAGGTTTGTTTTGTTCAACGTAGTGATTAAGAGGGAACCTCCAGGCTGCATAGACAGAAATATTTGAATAGAACATATTGTTCATATAACACCAACATGGATATGTTCTATATAAATACAAAACAAGTACTCATATATTATATTATGCACATATTATTAAAGACCAGAAACATGTTTTTTCTTATATATGCTTAGTAGCATATAGAAGTTAATCTGTCAATTTCAGTGTTACCCAAATCTGATTAAAAGCTTCTTTATTTCTCTGAGTTTTTTTTTTCCTTTTTCTTTTTTTTTTTAAATTGGGATGAGAGAGAGACTGGAATTAGAGGAAAGTGGAATTGTGTCAAGAAAACCAATCTGTTAGATTTCCTCTGGTCCACAGACCTAGGAGATTAAGATGCATCATTAATGACACTACTGGAAACAACTACACATGGGGGTATTTTCCCATTGATCTACAATAAATCTCATTTGTACAGAAGGAGAAAATAGATCTGTCCCCTTCAGTTTTTGTTTTTTTTAACTTATGTATATTTTTGCATTTTTCTCACAAATACATGCAAACTTGAAGTACATTGACTCTAAGACAAAAGACTGCATATCTACATATGTTTCCTAATTGTGAATCAGATTGTTTTTCACTGACCACAAAAATAAAGCACAGTTGGATGTAGTAAATACTAAAACTTACCTTCAGTACAAGACTGCAGCAGTATGCAAATGTTTCCAGGTCAGCAAGATGTTCAACCACTTCAGACGCAACTACTGCGTCAAACTGTCCCACAACCTCCTCCCCAGCCTCTGCTCCCTCTGGCCTCTCAGATGTGAGCTCCTCCAGGCTGCAGGCTCTGTATCTGACTCTGTGGCGGAGGTCTGGGTCATAGGACGAGTGGAGTTGCGCTGTGCCAATGCTGTCCTCCACCGGATCTATACCAAGGACAGAGGCACCTAGGCGACCGAGAGGCTAAGACAATAAAAAATAAGGTATTACTGAAACATTCATTATATGTTTACATGCACAGGTTCCAGATATATACTAACTGAATGATAATGCCGATGGGTGATGGTGAGAAAACAGCAAAGGAAAGCTGTTGTGATTGACATTAGGAACTTGCACTTTAGTAATAGTGTCTTTGAATGATTAGAAGGGTGTTATAAAAATAATTCCCAAAATGTAGTTGAGGAATAACTTAAATAAACTGTAAGTAAAGTTACAATTTAATCAACTGAACAATTTAATGCCTTGCAGCGGTATACAAGACTATTTTTGGCGCCATCTTCTGGCTGTATACTGTACAGAACACACACGATGTGCTCTTGTTTGCCAAGGGGACTGCTGCTTTCCTTTTACAGTTGATCACCTATGATGGCAAGGGAACAAGTGATGAGGCTCAAAGAGACACTTTCACCCTGGAAATCCAAGCAGACTTTTTTATTTGGGATGTTTGTCTATGTATGACAACCTGTGTGGCGGGGCATCAGACATACAGGACCTGATTTTGTCTACCCAGATCACAAAGCACAGCTGGTCAGGCCTCACTTTAAAGGACCAAGACAGGAGTTTTGTGCTTTCACTGGCTCCCTTTAGACACTAACAAAAAGATAAACAACTATAAATGACCAACTGTCTGTTCCACCACACAGTGACCAGTCAAACATACAAACTATATTGATTAGAGTGACATTCAAGTGTGCACTGCTATGAAAAGACAGAAAGAAAAGCCAGGAAAATTCCTACAACTGACGGGAATTGTGGTAATCGTATCAACTGTAAGACATTTGAGATGTTTGTTCTGCTACCATCATAGCATTCATAGCATAGCCCTGTCTACATGTGTTTCTTAACTTTAAAGTATTACCTCTGTGAGCAGGCCACCTCCACAGCCAACATCTAGTATTTTGAGACCTGCGAGTGGTTTTGCAGTTTGACGTCCTCTGTGAATGTTCAACAAATTATCTCTGCATCAAAAAACAAAACAATTATTAATGTTAATTTAAATGATTAAATGATAAAACAAGGTGAGTGTGAAAAAATGCTTGAAATTGTGGTTAGGTCTCAATTAATCTTGATAAAAAATATAAAATGTTTGCAGTTTTTCAGGTAATCATGATAGAAATTCTAATGTATTCTCATCTATTATCATTACAATAGGAGCTAAACAGGTCACTGCTATGATAAATACACCATAATAAATAAACAGAATCTTGCATTATAAAGTAATATCCATGGGTTTTAAGGATTTCAATTAAACAAACAAACAAACAAAAAATCAACATAGCTACACACACACTGTCTGCCTCTGAATCTATGGAGTTGTCACTTTCAAGACATGTCAAAATCCAAACCAAACCACCAAGGGCACAATAAAGGGGGAAGGGCAGAGACACTGCCCTCTTGGCTGGGTGAGTAACATAATAATTTTTACACAGGGCACATAGCATATCAAAAAAAAAAAAAAAAGGCTTATGCATGGAGAAAGCCTGTCTCAGTTGTCTTTTATGTTCATATCCTTAACTTGTAACTTGGCCTGCTACCTATAAGTGTTGATATGAGTAATCAGAATACAAACCGTATAAAAGGCACGCGTAGGTCATTCATTGCGTGTAAAGCTGCAAACTCTCCTTGTTCATCCCACCACTTACTGGCCAGTGACTGGAACCTCCTCACCTCATTTGGGTCAACTGTGGTTTGTGAGACTGAACGAACACTGGGGGAGAAACACACTGTTAGTGACAAAACTTTCTGACTGTGACTGAATGAATGAAAAGAAAAGGGACATGCAGTTCACGTGTTCAACATTTACTAACTGCTGATGGTATAGATGCTACTCTATAGGCCGTGCTGCCTGCTCAAAGACGACACCAGCTGAAATTAAAATGAATGAGTGTATTCCGCCACCAATGGATTTTTCCCCGTTTCCTGATAACATGGTCATATTGGTTCAGGAAGCACCACGTACCATTCACATATTGACTATTATAGAGTAACCTATACTAGTGTCAAGGCTTTAATCTTTAAGATAGAGAAAACGTTGTTGTGGTCCCACTCTCCCATCATCACGACCTTGTGACAGTGTTTGCAGACGCTTTGAAAACTATATAGGGTCATAACAAAATGTGTGTCGTAATCATAAAACTAAAGGCATTCCAAGAAAATACGGATGCAATTCTTTTGAGCCAGGCAATAGGTAGTCCACTGTAGAGCGCAACCAGGCCAACCGTAATGTAACTCATATTACCCACCTGGCTTGACAGTGTAAGGCACCCTGGTTGTTATTCATTAGGGCACTTCTCCTCAGCCACAGTGACCGCTGTTGACACACCGATGTCCAGCTGAACCCAGTCCGAAGCCCGGGGCGGAGCGGCCCACTCCTGACACGTGCCGGTTTAAAACAAGAAACCCCCAAGACTAAACAACCAACTTTACTAGAAAACATTTTACGGTAAAGCACGGTTAGATTGCATTCAAGGTTCATGCAATCCTGGTAGCAGTTGGAGCTTGCCTTGCTGACTTGGTGCAAATGTTTGGTGTGCTTTTTTATTCAATCCGGTTGAAAAGGAGACTAACAATTGTTCCTAGAGTTAATAGTTCCTACCTATGAAATCAGGCATCAAATACATAGCAAAGAAAACTTAACTTTTTAAAAAATACCTTTAATTTAATTTAATCCTAAATTTTTTATTTAAACTCAAAATAGTCACCATTTGTGGACACTGCTCCAAAAGCCTTGGCCTTCAATGAGTTTCACGATGAATTATTCACATTAAATTGTATTCACATCACAGGTGTCAGGGTCAACAAATGCTGAAAGTGCAAAGTGATTAAAACAAAGGAATATTTTTTTTTCACATTCCATGTGTCCATTCATAGTTTTGATGCTTTAAGCGAGAATCTACAATTTAAATAATCATGGAAAAACAACCATAAATAGAAGTGTTCTTTCCATTTCCATGGAAACATGCAAGTGACGCGTCACCTCCAGAAAGTTATATACTATGCAAATGTAACAAACGTACATATGTGGCAGTGTACCCTAAAGCTTTAGTCTTTAATGTTGGTCAATGGTATGGACATATTGTTGCTCATTCACTACTACCTTTTTTCCATTACATTACATGCAACTATGCACCCATAGTAATTTCGCCTGGTAATGAAAAACATGAGGAATTTGGGGTGAATGTGAGTATGTGTCTGTGCACAATGAACACCACCACAAGTCAATGGACAAACAGTTTATTGGACATTTTACAATAACACCTTTAGAATCCTGTTATGACTTAAAATGATACAATGGTGACTTTAGTGGGTTTTCGTCTTAGTCCTTGCATAATGACACAATTGAAAATCCTACCATTCAAAATTACTTCTGTTTTTTTAGTCACTTTTAAAAATACCATATTTACAACAAAAAGAAATGTTTGAGGGGTTCACCTACAACTCTGTCTCTATAATGAGACAAGGCTGCTCAACTCATGGAATTAAAGCAGCAAAGTGCACCATTCAGAGCTTAACTGTGTTCCTTAGCGCCTGCTACGTCGCACAGGGGATGCCGACCTGAAAAAGATACGGACAGACCATTAAGATACATAATATTACAACTCCAACATAACAGCTTACTGCACCTTAAAAAGAAATCATGTGGAAGTTAAAAATTATCAGCAGAGGTGGAAAGTTGGTTTCTAATTAAACTATGAATTTGACAAGTTGCACACTTCACAAAATGTGCTTGACATTACATTTAAAAAAAAGTTCAACCTTCAAAAATATGTCAGAAGACAACATCTGTGTACAAAATCATTAGGCATTGACACGTGAATACATCATGGTTTAGCAAGACAATGTTCATGTCAATCATTGATGATTTGCTTAAAGGTTTAAATTAGTTAGTGACAGAGACATTACACAGTAATACAATCTAAATATTAACAGTGTAAAATAAAGAGAGAAAAACGAATACTACCTTGATCGAGACTTAGACTTGTGTTTGCGGCTTGCCTTCTTACCAGACTTGTGAGATTTTTCCGTAGACCTTGAACGACTACGTTTAGATTTCTTAGATTTTTTTTCTTTGCTAACTTCAAGAGAAGGGGACCTACTAGAGTCCGAATCAGAACGCCTTTTGCTAGATTTAGTGGAGCCCTTTTTGCTGCTTTTGCTGTCCTGCTTTGAGTGGCGATCGCTGTGAGAGTCAGTGGAGGAGTCGCTGTCTTTCTTTCTCTTGGACTTTCCATTCTCTTCAGAAACTACAGAGCTGTATTTGTCCTTCTCTCGCTCCTTTTCTTTGCCCTTTGTTTTATCCCTCTTTCTGTCTGATTCCTTTTCTCTGTCTCTGTCCTTATCCTTTTTCTTCTTGTCTTTCTCGTGACTGTGGCTCCGCTCTCTCCTCCTCTCTCGCTCTTTGCTGGAGGCCTTCTTATGTTTGCTGCTTCGGCTGTGGCTGCTGTCCCTATGGTCCCTGCTCCTTTTCCTATCTTTGTCTCGATCTTTGTCCCTGTCCCGACTGCGACTGCGGTCCCTGCTCCTGTTTCGTGCCCTGTCTCGGGACCGGTCTCTGGACCTAGATCTGCTCCGGCGGCTTCTCCTGTCTCTAGAATCACTGCGGTCTCGTTTATCCCTGGAGCGCTCTGCACTTGACCTCTTCCTGTCTCGACCTTTGACGTTGCGCTCACTACGGTGTCTGTGGGAGCTGTGGCTACGACTACGCCTGCGAGACTTATGCGAAGGGGAACGGCTACGTCTCCTTTTTCGCCGAGGGGAGGAAGACCTTGACGAACTACGGGAAGATACAGAGGAAGATGATGAAGATGAAGAAGAGTGACTGGTGCTCGAGGAAGAGCGGGAGCTGCTGCTGTGACCATTTGCTGGAGAATCACTGCGACCACGTCCTGAGCTATCCTTTCCACGGCTTGAATGTTTGCTCTCACTACCTTCCTTCTCACTACGGGATCTACGCCTCTCTGATACGGCCTCCGATTCACTTTCTTTTGCTGCCTGTTTATAAGCAATCTCTAATTCAGCCTCTTCATATTCCAGTCTTTGCTTTCTCTCCATGTCCTCTGCAAAGGGAAAGAAGAAAATATTAAGTGCGTTTTATTTTCTAAATTATCTGATGACATACAAGAGATGTGGCTTGAAAAACATTTCAACATTTCACCTCGTGCTAGTCGGGCTTCTTGTGCTTGTTTTTCAAGCAGTTCCCGCTCTTTGCGATGGAAGGCCTCCTGTTTCTCACGGATGCGGTGACGCAACTCCTCCTCATCAGTGTCAGATGATTCAGATCCATGGACACTGTGCTCCTCATCTTCACTTTCATCGGAGCCATAGTCACCAAGCCCACCTGCACAGCAGAGCCCCCAAGTTGTTCAGTTTGAGAAAGGATAGTGTTCCTTTTAGTCAGGGAACATTAACTCTCACAGATTATTTCTCTTGCCTGTAAGCGGCCAAGGCTTACAACAGTTACAAATCATAGCACTAAGGTTTAAGGCATGCTTAGAATGACGACTGCCAATAGGTTGAATGCTTAGTCTTTAAAAAAAAAAAAAAAAAAAAAAGCTTGATGCATTGATTGTGTCGCGATCCTTTTTCCTTACATTTTATTTTAAGTGCCCATATAAGCCTTCCCACCCCCCGAGCAAAAGAAAATTAGATACTCACTGAGACCAGTCAGAGAAGCCAGTGCACTTGACTGTGCCAGCTGTTTTGCAGGAGCTTTGATTCACATCAACAACAGGAACAAAATGTTAAAAAACATACAGCCATTTCTCAAGAGACGCTAGAGAAAGGGTCATAAAACACTAGCTGTGCTGTCATTGGTAACAAAAATAAATGAAAATAAAAGAAAGATGGAGAAAAGAGAGAGCGTTAATAAATTTCTAACATACATCCAAGTCAAACATAAGGCCAACAAAGGAGACTGATCCATTATGCATCAAAAATAACCCTGAAACAACATTTAAAGAGTGCACTCACTCATGTCTGTACATTCAAAAGTTTGCTTTTTAAGCATGTGTAATTAATGTGATCCATTAGCAGAACCTATACCTATAGTTCAGCTCCTACAACACACAAAAGGCATACTAATTCTTCAGATAAAATTTACAAATTAAAGGCAAACCTCTAGTTGCCTTCCGGTGAGTCTCTTTAGCCACATGCACAATCTCTTCATTTGTGACTTCCAGAAGGATCTCTGTCAGAAGTGTTTTTGTGATAATCATCTACAAAGATAAGCCGCTAATATGAGTCAGAGAAGACTATACAAGAAGTGACATAAAGCCCAATAAAAACACTCACCATCTGGAACTCCTTTTCCTCCTCTGTCATTTCAGGTTCACTGTCTTCAGCAGCAGGCGATGGGCTGTGACTGGGAAATTCCTTTTTCACAGCAATTCTTTCCACAGCATTATCATCATTGCCCTCATCGTCACTATCCTAAAGAGAAAAATACAAAAATATGAACTCATCAAAAAGGAAAATACAGGTCTACCTTTTTATTAGATGTATAACTTACAAATTTGCTTTTTCTGGGAATACGGGGCCCATCACCCCCATCATCAGGCTCTTGTTGTTCACCTTCATTTTTTGCCATTTCTGCACGCTCTTTTTCCATTCTCTCTTGTTCTAGTTTTTTCTGCTTTTCTCTGTCCATCTTCTCCAAGCCCTCTCGGATCCATGCAGGAAGTTTTCGCCTTTTTAAGGCATCTAAAATATTTTAAGGTCACAATTATAATACTAAACATATGATATGCAGTACTCACTACTAAAAATATGTAAAGTACTTAACAAAATTGCATGTAATATCTTTGTTGCTAAACCTTACCAAGAGGTGCTACTGGTGCCTTTGGTTTTAGTGGCAGCTGAATAGGAGAGCGCGGTCTGTCTCGGAAGTCAGGAGGCCTGGGGTCTCGTCTGTTCTGTGGTGGGCCTGGCCAGTACGGAGTAGGCATGCCTGTAGGTGTTGGGCCATAGGTGGATGCAGCTCCGTGCTGTTGGAGAATATAGACAATGTTGTTATTTAAAAGGGTTTACGTCTTCTTTCCTATAAGAGCAGAAGAGTGCTTCTTACTGTGCTTAAGTAAATAAAGTACGTTCTTTACAGAAAACAGAACTGTATCTGCAATAAGGTTTCCTTGACACATCACACCAAAACAGCAACGAGAGATTAACCTACATGTTGGAACCCAAACCAGTTGCTTCTTGTTTTACTTGGTTGTCACAATAAAACCAATATACGTTTTAACTGTAGCATCTGCATACCTGATAATCAAACTGGTTTATGGCCAAGGGGGCCATGGCGTAGCTGTCGGGCTGTGCCCCATACCCATGGCTGTTCTGGGAGTAAACCCCGTGATGGGCTTCAGAGTTGAACTCTCCGCTGTCCTGACTATTGCCATCTTCACTGGGATTCACCACATCCATTGGTCCAGATCCTGGAGGCATCCAGGATGGGTCATGAGGCGGAGGGGGAGGGGGCTGTCCATGCATTGCCCACTCTGCAACACATGGTGTGAAGATACAAACACACACTTCATCACTGGTCAACTTAAAACCCTGAAATGTGTGTTTATAAAAGGCATGCAGTATGAGTGAAACAGATACAAAGCCAAAACACAATCCACAAAACACTACACGCTTTATGGCAGACCTGGGCATTGTACAGTTCCCAGGCTACATATAGCCCTTTAGTTGACTCTGACCAGCCCCTTTAACTCTTTCCCCCATGAAGACGACATTTGACGACCCCCCCTGAACCCTTAATGACGACTTTTGACACCTCCGCCGTATCACTAAAGACGAGATTTGCCGACCTTTAGAAATGGCTTGGTTTTTCACATTTAAACAGAGACTGTGATAGGTGGGGGCCACTACAACCCACACTAGACTGACCAATAGGATTCAAGGATATGTTTTCGCCGATTTTTTCCGAAGTTAATCGAAATAGTGACAATGGTAGCTTCCGGAAAAAACACAACACGAAACACGTGCAATGGAAAGATCGCGGCGCTGCGGCGCACAGTTTTAGAAATAATGAGGAGCGGACGTATTTTATGGATAACTTTAGAGAAAGTGACTTTTATAGATTTCAAAGTGATGATGTTGAAGTTGATTATAAAGTGGAAAACAGCGATAGCGACGGACTTTCGGGGAGAAGATGAGAATGCCGCTGATGCGTCTGTGTGGAGTCCTGCGATATCCGAACAAACCATCTGAGCTTTATACTCGATTATGAACCAAAATTGCCCTGAAATCTGGATGTTGCCCAGGCTAGTCCTTTAAAATATTTCAGTCTTTTTTTCCAAGATGCGATGTATAACAGAATCGCTACAGAAAAAACGCTTATGTGGAGCTCTGCGCACGAGAAAATAGCCAAGATGACAAATACTGGACACCCACTGATGAGGAAGAGTTTTATTATTATATTATTATATTATAATAAGCTAAATTAGTTGAATAAGCTAAATGAGTTGAATAAGTTAAATGGAAAAAAATTAATTGGGTGCAAACAGGTAAAAACAGGTGTACACTTGGCTATACTGTATCTGGTGATATGAAATCTGTTTAAATACTTTGACAAAGTATATATTTTATTTTTTTATGAATATAGTACTCAGAACATGTATATATCAAATGCTGTAGTTTTTTGTTTTCGATTTTGCACCTGACCAGGTAAAGTCTCATTTTCAGTGAGCTGTTATACACCTATAAATGAGTTGAATCACATTTAAACATCCATAAATGAATAGTTCAGAGTCTAAGGTTTCCAGAGATACCAAATATGTCTGTGTTACAATTAAGTTCATGAGTGTAAAAATCATTTATAATCACTCGTGGAAGTCTGTTTTCTTTTATGCAATTATGCTCTATGGGTAGCCCTAGTAACATATGTATGGGTTGTTCCTAGTAGGCGTCCAGGGGGGAAAGAGTTAAGATAATTTGGAATTACAAAATAAACATATTTTATAATTTTACCTTATTTATGGACTAAAGCTGTATTGCTTTTACTTTAGAGGTGCACCTTCACTTTTTCATTGCTTAGTCATAACATATGCTCTTACATGTCTTACCAGCTTGTCAAAACAATAATATTAACTGCTTTTTTTTTTTTTTTTTTTTTTTTTTAATAAAGAAATACAATTAATATTATGCAAAATTGAGTTAAGCATGTTGGCCTGGTCCTCCACAATATTTCCTGTTTTTCATATGGCCCCATGGAAAAAAATAACTGCCCACCCCTGCATTATGGTATAGGTTCAGAAGTACCTGGCTGCCACATTCGTCCAAATGCTGGGTCACCCTGGAAGGCACCGTGGTTGCCCTGTCCAACAGACTCCAGACCAGGGATGTCTTGTCCATTGGGCTGTATACTTTGTGGCTCTGGTCCTGTTGATTCTTTCTGTGCTATCCATGCCTGTGCCAGGGCAGCCCAATCCACTTGACCTGGGAAGTTATTATTGTAAGGTAAAATGCACTTCGAGTCACATACACAGTATTAACTCTGCAAGTATTACCTGGATCATGTTGATGTTGAAACGACTGCATCCATTGCTGCTGACTCAAGGGCCATTGAGGCCAGGGCTGTCCTCCCTGGTCCCACATCACTCACGCTTCTGAAGCAACACTCCTAAAATATAGATTGTAGTATAGATGGACAGGGCATTTACATGGAGTAACCACAGACGCACTAGCCTTCAGCCTATGGCGACCAATTTGTCTAACATTTCATGGCACGGAAAGACTCCAGACATCAAATGTTACAATGTGTGCTGTTAGCTTATGACCACTGAATAAAAACACCAAATCTAAGTCTGTGGTGCCTTGAGTAATCAAATAGGATCGGTGAAAATGCTACTTAGCTTAGCTCACCAATCTCAGACCAGGACAAGCGTCTGCTTTAAACGTGCCAACATGCAGCTTTTAATTTCTTATTCTTTACATGTGTTAGCCACATAATGAACACAAAGCATCTATTTATATTGCTTGGTTTGGTTTTGTATTGTTTTGAGGAACTACATACTTACCGTTGCCAAATGTTTTTGCAGCCCTGCGGTTCCAAAATAAAATGGCTGCATGAGCAAGTCGCCACTGGAAGTGGCTCCTACTAAAAACGGAAGTGACGACAGACGTGCCGTGATGCATTTACAATCATAGGAACTTTTGTAATAATAGTTGCACTATTCGACATTCCTTGTATTTGGCAGACAAATGTCACATTGCGCCTTCGCCGGACACAATTATTAAAAAACGACCTTAGTAGTGTTATTTTAATAAATCCATGCGTAGTGCACAATAGCACAACAGTGCTTCTCAAAGTGAACTGGTATTAACGTATTAACGAAAATGTGTAATATTTTAGGCTGCTTTCTTACTCCATAGCTCTAGGGCAGACTTCAGTGTTATATACTGCAGCTATTTTGCCATGGAGGGTCAGGAATTACTGATGAATGAATGAATGTGTAATATTGATCACACAATGATTCGAATTCCAAGTGCATTAAGATACATTTCAATTTCATATATTTCAACAAGTACAGTATACATTTCAGCAACCATATGCACCAGCCAACAACACATGACAGGCCTGATGTAATGTGAGGTCTCACATTTGGTTAACAGGTTTAAAAAGTGTTACATGTTATACTTACATGAATGGTTTTCTTTAAAAAAGTCTTAAAAACATGCAGTAATGTGCTGTGAAGAAGACCGTGGAAGCGCCGTCATCACCAGTACTTACTTCTGTCCAAATAATGGTGTTGCATTTTAATGACCTATCATGTTCAGTGTGGGAATTACATTTTGACATTTTGGGAACCATAAAACAGCACGTTAAGATCTGTTCAGTGTGTGTCACTGATGGAGAAGTGCAAACACTAACCAGATTATTTTGAGTATGGAAGGGTGATTTTAATTGTTTGTCCTCATTTTCTATATTTTATAGTTCAGTAAATTAGGGGAAAGTACAGTTTTAGTAGCTCAGTTGAGAGTTTAAAGAATTTTACAACATCTGTTTTTATTTTCAACATTATACTTTGCATTAAGGTTGTCAAAACTATCGAAAATCGGATAATAATTGGTACCAGAATTAGTACCGAAACCAAATACTCATCGATACTAAAAATATCCCTGGATATATAATAATATATCTGGAGTTATGTTTAGTTTCGTTCACACGTTTACGGCACAAGTACTTATACAGAAAGTGCTCCACTGTGCTTTTAAACTCCTTACACCTTCATTAGAATAATTTTGGATCATTTCGGTCCTGAAATCTCAATCTCTAATCTGGATCTCTACTGAACAAAAGTTATAAAAAAAAAAAAAATAAAAAAGGTAGCTGTTTACTTGAAAACTACTAGCATCAGGTCCGCAGCGGATCCGCTTTCGGTCCGCCAAATCCGCCCCACAGTCCGTCCGCTTTGCGGATCCGCTGCGTATTTGCGTATTCGCTTTCTGACTGTTGCTAACCCTAACCCTTAGATGGCCTGCTGTTTCAGAGAGAATCTGCGGTTAAATCATCTTAGATCCGCACTGTGAACGTACTTTTAACACAACACTTTGTTTTTGACACAATGATTTGTACTATCAATGCGCGGATCCGCGGCTAAACCGGTTCGGATTCGCTGCGCGGACGCGCCACTGACTCATCAGCCGTTATCGGGACCTGAGTGGAAAGAAGCAGCACTCACCTGTTGTCCGCGGATTTAACTGTAAGTAATAGTTTAAAAGTTAATTGTATTAGTCATCATTAATGTGCATAACGTTAACGTTAGATTGTGGTGTCTGTACATCTGTGACTGTGTGTGTTTTATCACTTTTGACGAGTGCAGTGATGAAGACGATGTGAGGTCAGGAGTCTGGACAACTCCATCTCTTGAGGTAGATCCCAGTCTAAATACTATTTTTATATAGCGCTACTTATATTCTTGTATATTTTTACGATCACAGAATTGTAATTCTGCTCCTTGATCATTGGTCGTGTCTAACGGGTTCAGTTCTGGCTGGATGCCGCTCTCCCTTCGGCTGTGGAGCGACGGTGACACCGGTGTCTGATCTGGTTGTGTTTTTAACCAGAGATAATTATTATTTGTGTAGACTAGAGTGTTGACTGTTGAGTTGAGACTAAAGTGCAGTCATGTCAGTGCCTTTATACGATAATTTAAAGGTTGTATAGAGGATTTTCCAAGGAACGAGAAATCCAGCGACTGTTTGTCCTTTTTCAAATGTTGCGCATGCGTGAAACAACCCCCCCCCCCCCCCCCCCCCCCCCCCTCCCCTACAGCTCCCTACGTAGAAACGCCTCCTCCCGCCTCCTCTTTACGCCAGAAACAGGTTTGTTTACAGCCGGTGAGCTGCACATGACTTGTAAACAACTAACTACAGTGTTGGTTAGGCAAGGCGGAGAAGTGAGGAGCGGGGGGAAGAGCGCAACGGGCAGCGGGGACAGGAGCAGGAAAGGGGTGCAGAGAAGGTTGCGCGGAGATTCCGTGCGAATGAACTAGCTACAACACGCAGCAGCAAGCGGACTCTTTCTTTGCCTTGAAAATTACGTTTTCAGACATAGGATATCGCTTTCGTGTCCTGAAAAACGTTTGACTAGCTCTTGGAAATAAAGTACGTTTTCATAATAAGCAGAAGTGACCTGTCCAGGAGTAATTTGGCGACCAATGCGTCAGTCTTTAGACCCTGCGTCTGCTTCAGTCGCGCCATCGCTGGAATGAATCTATAAGAATCACCTTAGTTTGGCTTCGCTGCGTTTCCCCTTGTCTTCTTCTTTCAGCGACCTCAAAAACGGACTTTCTTTTGCGGCTAACTGCTCCTGGATTCTTGTCTGCCATTGCAACAAACTTTGTGCTAACTGCGAGGAAGATATAGGTCAAAAAAAGCCGCTAAGAACTGTTGCGTTGGTGGAGTAAACAGCGTCTGTGCGGCTTGCGTCTGTGGACTGCGTGACAGGCATACGTAAACCACGTACCGGCGGCGCGCAGGCAAGTCAGTTACTCTAGAAACGTAGGGAGATTGATTGACAGCCTTTCAGCTAACAGATAACGAGGCAGTGTCGTTATCTATTGGCAAATGTTTAGCCCCACCACGTCCAGAGTTGATGAATTTTTATTCTCTTTTTTTTGGTCATCATAATTACAAGGCTACTGCACCTCTATAATGCTATCATTGACAACTTGAAACAAAAAAAATCCTCCATACAACCTTTAACGCAACGTGCCTTAATACAATAACGTAACGTAATAAAAAGCACAACTTTTAACAACAGCTAACGTTAGATAACCAACCAAAACTTATGTTGTTTTTCCCCAGATGACATCAGGAGCCCCTGTCCTTCTGCTGAGTGTCTCCATCAGGAGCCCGGCACACTGATCAGAGGTCAGTACTTTTAATGATTTCTGTGACAGTGAGATTTTAGTTTAGAGCCAGATCTGACTTTGTCTCTAACTTTCTGTTATGGGACTTGAGACGGTGCTTCAGGCTTTCAGTGAGAGATCTGACATGTTGACATGAACACTAATGTGTCACATCTAAATTACACTGATATTGACTATGAACACCATCATAAATTGATTATTATATTTTAAATATTGTGGTAAAAGTAAATGTAGTAGAGTATTGTATATTAACAGCAGTGAAATACATCTCAATCTCATACTCAGGCTTATACTAAAACAAATGAGTTCAGCTATACTGCACTAAAGTATTTCCTATGAGTTAAATAATGTTTTTCATCTCTGTTTCAGAATATACTATGGTTAATAAGAAGATAGACATAAGGGCCTGATAAAGACCCTCTGGAGGTAAATACTGCACTTGTATTAAACACTGTGGCCTGAAATGTTCCAAACTGATATTTGTGTTTCTGTTATTTGAGGTATTACAGAATTCCCTCTGCTGGGCCAAGTTCCAAAAATGTAGAGACAGACCCTCTGTAAGTTTACTGTATTAACCTACTTTTATTCACTTTCATAACTAAACATATGCACATTATAATCACACCTGTTGTTGTGCATATTGTTACTTTCAGAACATGCTGTGGTGGAGTTTAAAGATTGACCCTCTGTAAGTGCACAATCAAGTAAATGGTCACATTTTTCTATAGCACTTTTCCACCTTCAAGGCACTCAAAGCACTTTACAACAAGGAACCATTCACACACACACATACCAGTGTACACAGACACTGTGGGCAAGGTGAGTTAAGTGTCTTGCCCAAGGACACAACAACAGCATTCATCTGTGGGAGCTGGAATCACACCAGCCAACCTGTGGGTTAGTGGATCTGACCACTCAACCTGTGATGTTTATGTTGAGAGCTGGATTTGAACCGCCAACCTTTAGATCAGTGGGCAAATGATCTACCAACTGAGCTACTGCCGCCCTAAGTGTTTACCTTTCATGTTCAAATCACACAGCCACTGTCATAACTTACAATGTTCTTCACAAACCTGAACTCTAACTCCTTACAAGAATAAGAGGTGTAATGGGGTGTTTAACACACACTGGAATCATTTCAGATGCTGTGAGAAAGGGGAAGCCCAGAGCTGGACACTGACAGACTGGATCTTCACCAGTAGGACTGAAGAGGAGCCAGACTCACTACACCTCTGCCTCAAAACCTCTGCCTCAGACTGAAGCTAAAGACAGAGGCTCTGAAGCTCCCACACTGCACACTCTATAAAAACAACCATCCATCTAATTGTACTGTGGTGGGAAACACAAGTTAAGTTTTAGTTTTAACAGTATGGTATGGCTACACTCAGTCTCATCTGTCCAGGCTTTTACTCATATAGCTAATATTTGTTTTTTGCCATTTAAAAAAAAAAAAAAAACTTTGCTTAACATTTCTTCATCTCATTTTCATATTAAGAATGAAACATTGGTTAACTCAAAGGGTCCTATACCATTAATAATAATTATTCATGTCCTAAGATTTCTAATTAATGATTTAAATAAACAATGTAAATGTAAAAAAAAAAAGTTTCTTTTTTTCTTAATTAATGAGATTTAGTGATAGGATATCACTGATCCAACTTTGAAATTGTTTAAGTTTATGTTTTTAAATTTAAGCCTTTATATCCTAGTTTTAATACTTGCTGTAAAAGTTGTATGTACAATTACAATGCAAATGCTGCTGGTGTGTATTTAGGTCAGTAGGAAGTGGATCAGTATTAAATCTGAAGCATATTGGTTTTAAATATGGATGTTTTGTCTATAAAGTTTTGCATGGACTTGCCCCTCCTCCATTACAGGATTTTATTAAAGTAAAGACTGTGAGTGGGATGGGAACTAGGGCCACAGACCGGGGGAACTGTGACGTCCCACACAGACGCACAACATTCGGACAAGGTGCTCTCAGTCAGAGGCACAAAATTTTGGAACAGTCTGCCACCATCAATAAGAGAAACTTAAACTCTTGCCACCTTCAAGTCCTCCTTAAAAGAGTGGCTAAAGAAAAAACAGACTTGTGGACACTTTTAGTATAGATTTGTTTGTTTTTGTGCTTGTTTTTGCTTTGTTTAAATTTGTGGTGTTACCTGCCAAGGGACTACAGATGGAAATTAGCAGTCTTGCTATAATCTGGCATATTTACACTGCAATGTTGTAGATGTTCATTAATATGCACTGTCCCTATTAAATAAATAAATAAATATTTAGGCTCCTAACGACACAATAAACAGATCCGCGGCAGATCCGGGGCAGATAACCCGGTTCTGAAAGCGGATCCAAAACGGGTCCCGGGCGGATCCGCGAGATACGCAGCGGATCAGCCGCGCCTCCGCCGCGGATCCGGGCTTATTTTGACGGATCCGCCGCGGATATTTTTTGCTATGTGGGCCGCTTCATGACATCACAAGGTGGAACAGAGCATTTTGAGTTTTGGAGCTGTAAACAGAGAAACAGAGAAGTAATAAAGTGTTACTCAAACAGGACATCTGGAGTAAACATCAGGAGTATACCTGGTCTAACCCAGAACTAAAACATGACTAAACCAGGTCTAACCCAAAACTAAACCAGGACTGAGCCATGTCAAACCAGAATTAAACCAAGGCTGAACCAGGTCTGACCCAGAACTAAAGCCAGGACTGAATCAGGTCTAACCCAGAACTAAGATAGGACTAAACCTGGTCTAACACAGAACTAAACCAGGTCCTACCCAGAACTAAAGCAGGGCTGGACCAGGTCTAACCCAGAACTAAACCAGGACTAAACTAGGTCTTACTTTGAACTAAACCAGGACTAAACCAGGGCTTACCCATAACTAAACTAGGACTGAACCAGGTATATTTCAGAACTAAAGCAGGACTGAACCTCATCAAACCAAAAGTAAATCAAGGCTGAACCAGGTCTGACCCAGAACTAAACCATGACTAAACCAGGTCTGGTGGCCATACTGGCTTGTCAAAGCCTGCTCCTGTCAGATCTCAGAAGCTAAGCAAGACTAGGTCTGGTTAGTACTTGGATGGGAGACCACTGGGAAAATCAGGTGCCACAGTGGGGTGCCAGTTGCAAAAAAAAAAAAAAAAAAACTGTTGATGTGTCCTTAGGCAAGACATTTAACCTTCATTTCATATGTGTATAGAGTGCCCTGGAGACAACTAACAGAAGGCTGCCAAGCTGCACCATTGGCCTATCCAAAAAACACCATGATCACTTTCATACTAGCCAATGTGGGTGAAGTACCTTGCCTAAGGACACAAAGACAGCTTTTTTTTTTTTTTTTTTTTAAATCAGTGGCACTCTCCTGTGGTACCTGATATTCCCAGCAGTTTCCCATCCAAGTACTAACCAGGCCCAGCCTTGCTTAGCTTCTGAGATCTGACAGGATCAGGCTTTGACAAGTTAGTATAACCAATTTTACCATAGAAGCCATGAAACCACTACAAGCAAAAATAGTGTAGTTATTTTACTAATTCACTTCACTTTATTTGCTATGTGCCCATATTTTCATCACTGAGCAACCCAAAGTGCCAAGTGCCCAACTAAGCTCATCCATTCCCAGCCAGGGACAGGAGACCAGGTGCACCACAGAGCCAAAGGGGGATTTGTGTGGATATCTCTCTCTTTCTTGTCTTTTTACAACATTCACAAATAAACAAGTAAATGGAGCTTTGTGGAGATGAGCACCTTGGAACATGCCCTCTCTAGGAAAATGACCGTGTGCTTCCACAACAAGGACAGATTCAGAGTCAACTTTAAAACAAGAAAGACATAAAATTTTAGTCTCCTCTTTGGATTTTCTTTCCTCTGGGTACTACTACATGACATCACAAGGTGGAACATTTTGAGCTTGGAGATGCAGACAGACTAACAAACCCAGATTACTTAAACATGTGTGAATGAAACCAAACACAATGTTTTTGAGAAAGTAAAAACATTCTAACACGATTTAAAGCTCACAGGAGTCAGTTTTGTGCAATACAGGATCTCGTTAAGTGAGTCTGAAGACAAAACAAGTGAACACAGTGATCTGTAGTTTTTATTGTAGACATATCCATTGACCAACTGAGTAACAAAATCCAATTCAGAACTGCTCTGGTCTTTTATTAGTGGTAGCTTGGCAATTTGTTTAAAAATAAAATGTCAGCAACACAACTGGATGTGATTGTGAGTGAGAGCAGGGGGACAGGTCGTGCAATTTTTAGGACATTGCCCTTTTCCTTCTTCACACCCTCCTTTTTACCAGCCAGTGACATGCAACACAGTACTGGGGCTATGCATCCATCAGCCTGCATCACCAATAGGAATGATTTGAACATGGCAAAACATATACAATGACAGATAAGGCCATTGAACAGTCTTGCTGAATTAGATGTCTGACAGATGTTGCTAAAATAAAAAAAAAGAGAAAGTGCTATATATTTATTCCAATAATTAAGATTTATTTGCTTTCATTCAGTATTTTAGACATTCCAAATATGTATAATCCTTTCATGAAAAAACAAAACAAAACAAAACAAAAACATAAAGCCCTGCATACCTGAAGCACCACAGTGGTTTTACATTTGTTCTGGGAGATAAAATATGCTTTTGCATACTGTACTTCAACTACCATACTTTAACTACTGTACTTTTGCATTCTGTTCTGCAAAATGTGTGTTTTTTCACTGTGCACAAGTTTCAAAACCTGAAGCTCCTATGATAAATTTCAGACAAAACAAATCAATTATATTAGTATATTTTCTTTTACATTTGGCAAATTGACACCAAAAGGAAATATAAAAATACTCAAAAGAGGCAATACATTCATATGATCTCATGCATGTAACAGTAATGACATTGACAGCACAGGAAAAATCTAATTAACCTTTTGTTGTACATTGTCAAATGAATACTGTGTCAACACATTATAGCAACATTAAATACAATGAAGGCAGATATGGTGATAAAAGTTAATATGTTGTTGAAATGACAACATAAAAATGACTGTGAACAGACAGAGAAGTTTAGTCAGGTATTAATCTTTGGCAATGTGTTAATGATATTAGCATTACATGATTACATTAAGATGAAAAAATATAATTGGTCTGTTAAATAATTGTGCTAGTACTCTGATGATGCTATGTGTAACAATCTTTCTGACACGCCTTGTCCAATATAGAAATAACATTTTAAATGAAAACCAGAAATACATTTTGATTTGTTGATAATTTGATAAAGCACAACGTAAAATGGCAGAGATTGATACACACAGCATCTTAATCTACAATCTTGTGTCTCTCACTCATTCTTCATACACACAAAGACATCATTAGTCAGCACTGAGTGCAGTAGTGCATGCAGTTCTTGTTTTATGTTAGTAAATTTCATGCATTTTACACCTATAGGAAGAACAACTTTAAGTCTAAATTGTATCCCTGTTTATTTTAAAGGGTTTCTTTTTTAAAATTCAAATAAATGAAATTGCAAGTTTGAACTAAGAAAAACACAATTGCAAATCAGTAATATATACAATTAATTGTTCATACACACAATATAATACTCTATAAGTGATCATTTTTGTCAGCTGACAATAAAGGTCTCAGTGGTCAGTTCCCTTCCCCCCCCTCTTGATAAAGAGGATAAGTACAGCATGTACCATGTTACTTTGTATTACATAACCATTGCAAACAAGGAAAAATATTCTTAAGCAAGTTATAGAAGTTCCTCATAGAAAAGCAGGTAGGCCTGAGAGTTGAGCACACGAGACTCTGGGACGGTCTGTACTGTGGTGTCACTGACGTAAACCCACTGGCCCTGGCTGCTGCTGCTGCTGCTGCTGCTGCTCGACTCCCTGGCACCTGAGAAAACACAGGAACACAGTGTTATAGGTGAAGGGGAGTTAGACATACAAAGGAGAACACACTTTGTAAGGGAGTTAGAAAGAAAAGAAAGAAACACACCTGATAAGATTGTCAATAAACACTCTATAGAAATAATCTAGACTCAGCTGAATTTTGTGAATGATGCATATCAGTGCATGGTACAGACAGAGGTCTTGGGCTATCTGACCATTGTGAACACTATTGTATACATCAAAATGGCAAGATGGAGCCCTTTGTCTTAGATGTAAGGCCAGTGTAATGGAATCTTTTCAGCATTATAGTGTATGTGGTCACAAGGACACAAGAAGAAGCATGGGTCAATGTGTAGGGCACAAGGGTATATCTGTTATAGAAAACAAATCCACTATTGAGCAGTGGGTCTTTGGTGCACAAATGACAGACCTTATGATGGAAGCTGCACAAAGAACATGACATGAATACAAAGGTTCATACAGGTGAAGACACATAGACTCTGACCTGACAGGTTTCTATGATGCTCAGTTTTCTTCTGTGGAGCGCGGACTTTTACATATGCAGTGTAATGGCCTCCACGCATTGAACCACTATGCTCAACAATCCCATACAAGCTGTAGAGCACTCGCTCACCTGCTGCCAGGTTCTAGAGGGAATAAAGAGCAGAAGAACCAATGAAATTGTCTATAAACTAAACGCACACCTACACTACTCACAATAAGTTAGGGATATTGTTATTTACATGAGTGCTTTTCCTATTTGGTCTGAATTTTTATGAAATAAGTAAAAGTTCCCTCTGATATTACTAAGAATGAATGAGAAGAAACTCCATTTTCATTAGTTTACTATTTATTACCCCCAAAATTTAGACAATAACAAGGATAGCCCCAAGTAACAAAAATGAACTATGTCAGTAGTGGGTGTTTCCACCTTTTGCCGCAATGTCAGCTTGACAACGACGTCTCATGCTCCTCACTAGCCTCATGATGTTGTTCTGAGGCAATGTGTTCCACTCTTCCACCAGTGCTACATGCAGTTCCACCAGGTCACGTGGGGGTGGGCTACGATCATCCAGTCTGTGCTTCAGCTGGTCCCAGACGTGCTCTATGGGGTTCAGGTCAGGGTACAGTGCTGGCCATACCTTATGAGGCACTCCGACTTCCTGAAGTCGAGCTGTGACAATTCTGGCACGATGTGGTGGAGCATTATTATCCATATACAGAAAGTTGGGGGTGTGTTGGCGGAATTGGGGGATGATGATGGGTTGTATGATGTCTCTGAGGTAAGAACGTGCAGTGACTGAGCCATCTACAGTAACCAAATCTGTTTTGCGCAGACTGGTGATGCCTGCCCAGACTGTTGCACCTCCTCCACCAAAGCGAACCCTGAGGACCATGCTGACCTCGGCGTATCGCTCACCTCGCCTTCTCCTGCAATGTTGACGACCATCATTTCGGTGCTAAGTGACCCGATACTCATCAGTGAACAGGACGGTGGACCACTGCTGCATTGTCCAGGTCTCATGGTCTTGTGCCCACTGCAGACATTCACGGTGGTGTCTTGGTGTCAGTGGAGTCACCTTCAATGGTCGTCTGGCATTCAAACCAAAGCGGTGGAGTCAGTTTCAAACGGTTTGTCTGGAAACTCTAGTACCCCTCACATCTCGAAAACGAGCCTGCAACTGTGTGGCAGTTGCTTAACGATGTCTGAGTGCATAGATCTTTAGTTACTTGTCATTGTTGCGGTCTGTCACTCATGAGGCTCCACTCCTGGGTCCGTCACGAACCTTGCCAGTAGTTCTGTGTCTTGATGCAAGTCTGCTGATGACACTTTGAGACAAACCAAGTTCATGAGCAACATCTGACTGCCTGCCACTGACCCTGAAGGCGTGGTATGGCTAGGTGGCACTACTCGTCTGTTAAGTGACGTCATGTGTTCATGGCCATTTGAATTGTGAACTTGGAATGACTTGACAATACCAGCTTTTTATACCCAAAGAATGTTGACATTGATGCCACATTAAAAATGGTTTTGGCTCCAATATGTAAGGCACACTGTACACAGTGAGAACATTACATGGAAAACACAAAATGAGGTTTGTCTATCACCCCAATACAATTGCCTCCCTATCCCAAAAGTTTCTGAAGTGAAACAAACACCGTATATATGACATTCACCGGCTCTCTCTCAATATCCCTAACTTTTTGTGAGTAGTGTAATTAACCAATCATTAATTATTTGTTAAAAGGCTTACTTTACTGGAGGCTGAGCAAAATGGAGCCAAATCCAAAATGAGTGGGAAGTCCACATGGCGGTTTACTTTTCTTAGGTTCATTCCTGCCTTGAAGTACAAAAGCAAATTTAAATATGAACTGTCCAAAACATGTTAATAGTAGTGAGGCATCAAGCACTAGCCAACCTGATGGAAGCGTTTCAGGTGCAAAGTAATGACAGGAGGCAGGGAGGATATTAGCATCTGCTTTCTTGCACTGGTGTAAATCTTCTCTATTTTTTTGTCTATTAAAATAAAACAAACAAACAAATGTTATATTATGGAAAAAACAAAACAAAACATTACACAACAGTTATACTGGCTCTATGAAATACTGTAAGCTATACAACTAGTCACAGTCCAATCCAGCCAGACCTACATGCACATATGATCAGTTTAGGTGTTACCTGAAGGGCCAGTCTTGCGCAGCTGCTTCTGTCGGCGCTCAGTGCAGCTCTCACACAGTAGTTTGTTGTTACCCATGAGCAGCTCCACAGAGGTGAACTGGTGGAGGCAGGACTGGACCGAGCACTCTTTGGAGCTAGGAGTGTAACTCTGGGACAGTGCCTGGAATGCCCCCTGCTGGTGAGGGTAGTGAATATTGTCTCGTGCATCAGGTGGCTCATCCGGGGAACAGTGTGTGGAGCTAGAGCAATCTCCAGAAGGTAAACCTATGTTGATCTTTGACACCGCAGATACAAGTTGGTCGACTGCACCTCCAGGTTTGTTATTGAATGCGGTTGAAGAGTTTCCAGTAGGAGATGGCGTGAGGGTTGTGCTGGAGGAAGAGGTGTGTCCATGGCATGAGGATGGGGGGCGTGGGGCCCATTCACTCTCTGATGCCTCACTGTCCGCATCATTGCTGCTGTCCTGAGCCCCAGAGTCCCTGTCACTCCCATCAGAAAGACTACCAGCAGACGCCATTTTACAAACTGAAAAACCACGAGAGGATCCTCCAGCCACTCCCTCCTCTTCTGACCGCTCTACTCCACAACCTGCGCCTTTATCTTCTAAAGGGGTTGAACATCTCTTGCCTTGTAGTTTCTGTACAGACAAAAACAGCTCTAACTTATGTTTTAGTACATTACATAAATCTATGTATGTTTCTGAGCATGCACACCTGCCCACTCAGTCTCCTGTTCTTGTTATGAGCAGCAGAGAAAAGCTGCTCATTGTGGACTATGTGGCTGTCTTGCTCTCTCACCACTTTAGCCACTCGCGCAGGGTTAGATGGTTTTGAGGTCTATGTAAGAAACAGAATACAATAAAACTAAAAGGTAATAAAATATAATGCATATATGTAGATGAAACCAATCATATCCAAAAACATTCCAACTCACCCGCTCCTCTATGATTGGCAATGAAATGTCAATAAAGGCCTCTTTAACGGTTGATATCTGTAGCACAAGAAACCACTGTAAAATTTGTTTGCTCAAAACAGAAAAATCAAAGTCATATAAAAGTGATTCAGATAGACTTACATGTTCACATTCTTCACACATGATTGTGTTTGTAAGTTCTCCAACAAAAATGCGATCAACAAAGTTCATTCTCACACCTTCTTTTCCATATGCTAAAGAAAAGATGGGAGGTAGGTTAAACTTGTTTTATCATGTTCAAAACACAGTACATTATGTTATGTTTCTTCTGCATGGAAGCTCTTTCTACCATAAGATTTAGAGCCACTGGGGGGAGCTATTGCCTCTATCCATGCTGTTGGTGCAGCTTGTATACTCACCTTTGACTTGGCGTTTTGTTTCTTCATCAGCTGTCTTTTCAGTTGGATTGTTGAAAGCCTTCAAAATGGCTGCTTTTACCCTCTGTAAACATCAAACAATGAAAGACAAGAATTAGCAAAACTACAAAACTCACTCACACAAATTGTACAAATGAATACAAATATGTCTAGCAGTTGTTTATATCCATTAATATGATATCCAAATCTAGGCTGAAGCTCACGCTGACAGCTTTATCTATAATAAGCATCATTAGTGTAAATAATTATTGTGCTTGTCTAGAGACATTAAAATGTGTATCACAATTAACAGTGTATGTTTGTGTTGGGTGCATAAATCTTTCACAGGCTGATCTTATTGGAGGTGACATGGTCAGCCAGAGAGCTGTGAAGAGACACCGCCACAGTAAAGCACCAATCAATAGATAATTGGCCACGGTCTGTGTCTGTGGCCGAGACCAGTCAACCCCCATTGTCCTGGGACCCACGCACTGGACTGGCTATTTAGGTCAAAAACCCCAGTAATCCGAGACAGACTAGCCTGCATCCCACTCACCGAACTCAAACCAGGACGGGACTCCTCGACTAATTAATTACCAGTAACCCCCCATACATCCCCCATCCCAAATAGAATCTCCTGCTCGATCTCGCACTGCTCTGTTCCATAGACGATGAAAGACACTGAAAGAGGGGGGAGAGGGGCATGGCTGGTATGTGGGCGCAGGGGTAGAAACTGCGCCAAGAAGATGAGGTGAAGAAGGACAGTCCATGCCCTGAGAGTAAAACCTACTGTTTCAGCTAATTGGTGATAACTGACTGAGGGCAAATTAGCATATTGAAATCTCTGATACTAATTGCTAATCAACACAAACATTTAAGGTCTCCATGGTTAGTCAGACTCAGTGAAAAATGCATATCAATACATGTAGCCTTAATTAAAGTGTAAAAAGACATGCCATTCATAATGCATATATAGTGACTTCAAAATACAACAAAAGAGAAGTTATACAAAAAAAGGTAATATTTTAAGTATCCTACAAATGAACACTTAATTAAATAAACCCTTATTCATTATCTTTTATAAATAATATATCATATTATATGTTACTCAATGAACATAACTCAAACTAAAATTATTTAAATATTGTATATTAGGGTCAGAAAAATAAATAAATAATCAAATTAAATAAATTTGCCTTTTCGGCTAAATTAAATTGACCAAATAATGACATTTATAAATAACTAAAAAGTTAAGATTGTATGGGTTAGATAGTTGTAAGACTTTTAAAGCATTTAGTTTCATATTTTTTTAAATTGACATTTTTGAAATCAGCAATAACCCACTGCTCTCTGTTGGTAGCAATTACCTTTGGATACAATGAATAGCTGAATCCCCCTCCCTGTTCACAGTCTTGATTAGATTGGGACACGGGTTGATGAGTGTGTGTATGTTTGGGAGGGGGCTATGGGTGACCCTCATCTACAATGGGACAGCCCCGGAGCTCATTCAGCAGCTGTGGGTTTCCCAAGATCACACAATGATGCCGGTCGTGCCACTTGCAAGTCCCTTAAGTGGCACAACTGCGAGCGTTCACAAGTTTGAATGGGAGCAGAGAGGGCCCGGCTGCAGCCCCTCCTAGGCCTAAGGCTGACCACTAACACACCCGCTAACTTCTCCTCTAAGGTTCACACAGTCACTGGTGGGGCCATGGGGGCCAGAAGAGCCTGGAAAGCACTGAGTTTTCCAAAACGTCCTCTATAAGGAGCAGCGTGGCCATGCATCCCAAAAATATGGCACCAAAAGGTTATGACAAAAGACCCAAGAATATTTGAATTATATTGCTGTGGAATTAATAGAAATTTTTTTCTCATCTTCATTTTAAGTGTAACTTATACAATGCGTCTAGCCATTCATGTGTGCTTGTGTTGTAATGCACATGGATTTGAACTCACCTTTGTTTCTTCTACTCTTATGGAATCCAATAAATAGTGCAGAAGCTCCTGGCTGTCTTGCTGTTGGTAACCCTTAAAGCGTGGTGCTCTGAAAGGGGGAAAAAGATAAATAATTTATAGAAACTATAGGTCCCTGAAAAAGTTAATTTTTTCTAACTTCTATTAGCATTTGAACTTCTACCCAAACTTACAAAATGCAACACTTGCAGACCTGTATTTTTTTATTATCTGTATCAAAATCTATCAAAAATTTAATATGACACACCACTAATGTGTAATACTTAGTTATGCTACGCACCTCTGACACTGCCAGCTTGATTTTGCATGTAGAGGTGTATGTCTATAATATTAACATGATCACAAAGATTTATTAATGAAAAGGCACAAGAACATTTGTGAGCTGAGAGACAACACTTGAGCTCTGGGATGACAAGCATGTCCTCTAACTGTACAAGACCACACAGATGTGTGGGCAGATGCTAGGGGCAGATGGGCAGCTAAGGCTGTAGCCACAGCAACCTGTTGGATAATACACCACACGGCCCCTGGACAGGTTAATTTTACAGGAATAATGCTTACAATGTTTTCTTAAACCCTATCTTATAACTTGTGGTGTCTCAGTAAACCTGAAAAACCTCAAAGAAAGATGGCCTTCAATATGGTCAGTATCCATGTAGGAGGCAATAAATAGTTTAGAATCAACAGACATCAGAAGATAAATGGTCAAAGTTGTGCATGAATCCTACATATGGACACGTTAGTCTCCTGTGTCAGTTTGTATCTTCACAGTGAGTGATGGGGGCAGGGATGGCAGACACACCATTTTGTCCAGTCCCAAAAACGAACATGATGTGACGGTATGTGTGGCTTTGTCTCCTTGTGTTGTCTGACTAAGTCCCATGGAGACACAAACACTAACTGAAATGTAGAGGACAGTGAGTGAGACAGACTGGAGTGGAGAGACATGCAGGACTCAGGATAACAAACAAAATGGAGCTCGTAGAAATCAGTGGAACCAGGGAAGCTCATCCCTGTGGAGGAAGCAGAAGGGCCCTGTAGCACTGCTCCCAATCTGGCCAATGCAAACATCTGCGCTGCTAACACAATTAATAACCGGATGAGTTAGTACCAGACGCACAGCCACACAAGCCCCCCCCCCCATCACCACCACCCCCACTGACATACACACACATATATACTGTACACTAACTTATAAATATATTCATGTAACAACACGTGCTATAAAATATGACTAATGATAATTCATGCACAAGCTTGTTGCTCATTCATGTCATGTTGAAAATTTGAGGATTGCCAATAAAATGTTACTGGTTTTAATACATGGTAATAAAAAAAAATATATATATATATATATATATATATATATATATATATATATATATATATATATATATAATATATATATATATATATATATATATATATATATATATATATAATATATATATATATATATATATATATATATATATATATATATATATATATATATATAATATATATATATATATATATATATATATATATATATATATATATATATATATAATCTAAAATCATTAATTAAGATGTATAAAAGAATCTTGTTTGTTAAAAAGAATAACATATACAGTTGATGACTGGTTGAAAAGCTGGGACTGTCCCTGGCACTGGTCTGACTTTACTGGCAAAGCTCCCTCCAAGATCACATCTCTTCTGCTGGCACAGTGGACCATGTGGTACTCAGCTGGTTGGTATAAATGCATGCCGACACATATAAGCAGACACACACAACTGTCAAAAGGTGGACTCATTAAGTTTACAGTATTGCAAATAGGCAGTGTCCCTGATCCACACAATAAAGCTGTATTCAACTACCTATTAACACAAAAACTGAGAAAAGGTCAAGGACATTTCTGCCTCTCTTGTGTCAACAAATGCTTGGTGACAAGTAAGGGCAACAGGCTGCATTCACCACAGAGCACTCATCATACAGGTCAGCACGATTGAGAAAATGTCCCGTAAACAGAAGCAGTTCTTGACCCTATTCACAAAAAAGCTTTATTCCACACTGAATGTAGAGTTGTTGTTTTTTTTTTTATAGGACTAACCTACAGATCCATGTGCAGTGCAATTAAGCATACTGTTGTGGAAAGTCATTAAGACCTTCAAATCAAAAACACTCACCATATTCTTATGTATATTTTGTATTTCATTTAATAATTGTACTAATATGTAATTGTACTACTATACTACTATGTGTGCACAATCCTTTTTGTCCCAAGCTGTTGTTCACAAAAATGGACTTTGTGGCCTTCACCTGTGGTTCAAGTGGAGTGTGCAACTGGCTCTGATTCTTCCAGTTATATCATTATTGTCACATGTATTCAGTGAAATAACTGAGCGAGGCATACTTTTAATTAGGCACATGTGAGTGCAGAAAGGTGCATGCAATGAATGCATATTTGAGCAATGTGTAGTGTGGTTCAGGGTGGTACCAGGTGAGACAGTGCTGCTATAATGCACACTCACAGAGACACAAAATGAAGCATGTTTGATGAAAGCCAGTACCAGAAACCCGGTCAAAGCCACACCAGAGGTGTGCCTAGTCATCTGCAGTTAAATGCCCTAGCTACCCACCTGCATGAGTTAATAATACAAGACAGTATCAGAATTCACATACACAAGCAGCTAACATGGACCCAACCAGTAGTGTGCCATGCACCAACTGGAAGCCAACCAACCAAACATGTTCTGTCTCTTCAAAGAGAAGAACAAAACAGTGCTCTATTTCTACAGCAAGTCAATACCTCACCCTGAACTAAACATGACACAGGTGGCACAACATTGGAGCAAGTTTCAGAAGAGCTGCAAATAGCTAGCTGCCATCAGACATTTGATAAGCTACAGTGCCTTTGGAGCATGTGTGTAGGCTGTGCATTGAGAGAAGTAAAAGGGACTGAGAAGGGACCAGGTGTAACCTGGGTATGGCTGGTTAAAGTGGCTACAAAGGCATAGTAAGTGGAAAATCTGTGTCTCTTTTGTGAAAATAATGCATGGTGTTTAGAAATAACAGGTTATATTTAGGTAAATCTGCAATTACTGACAAAATATGGGCAATAAAGGGGAAAAAAGCATCTGAAAATTTTATAATCTATATGCAAATCATATTTCACATAGTGGGGCAAAAAGTACACGTACAAAAGCTGGTCACCTCTTGCCTGGGTAATGAGATTTTCTATTGTCCTAACCTTAAAACAATTTGACACATACAGACATGGACAAAATTGCTGGTACCCCTCTGGTAATGAAAGAAAAATCAACAATTTTCACTAAAATAACTTGAAACTAAGCAAATATAGCAAGCAATAATAAAAAAAAAATCCTGAAAAATAACCAGTGAGAGAAAGAGAAGAAGAGAACTGTGTCAGGAGACTAGAAAGTAAATGATAGACAAGCAGGATAAAGATAAAGGCAATAAGACCATCTCCAAGAAGTTTGATGTTCCTGTGATTGAAGTTGCACCTGTTATTAAGTAGTTTAAGGTCCACAGGACTGTAGCCAACCTCCCTGGACATTGCCACAAGAGGAAAATTGATGACAAATTCAAGAAATGGATCATACGAGTAGTAACCAAAGAACCCACAACAACCTCCAAAGAAATTAAATGTGAACTCGAAGGGCAAGGTTCATCAATGTCAGATCACACCATCCATCACTGTTTATTCCAAAGTGGACTTCATGTGAGGACACCACAGCAAATCATAACAAAATAGAATGGAATTTGCCATAATGCACATTGACAAGCCACAAAGCTTCAGGGACAATATCCTTCTGACAGATGAGGCAAAACTGGAGCTCTTTGGCAAGGCACATCAGCTCTATGTTCACAGATGCAAAAATGAAGCAGACCAAGAAAAGAACACTGTCCCTGCTGTGAAGCATGTAGGAGGCTTGGTTATGTTCTAGGGCTGTTTTGCTGAATCTGGCACAGGGTGTCTTGAATCTGTGCAACAACATCTCAAAATTATCAAGGTATTTTGGAACGAAATGTGTCAGAAAGCTTGGTCTCAGTCATAGGTCATGGGTCTTCCAACGGGATAATGACCAAAAACATACAACGAAAAACACCCAAGAATGACTAAGAATAGAATACTGGACTGTTCTTAAGTGGTCTTCTTTGAGACCAGATCTCAATCCTATTGAACATCAGTGAAATGAGCTGAAATGCTGTCTGGAGATGGCACCCTGCAAACCTGAGACAACTAGAGCAGTTTGCTCAAAACACCCACTTACCAGTGCAGAAGTCTCATTGACAATTACAGAAAACGTTTGTTAGCAGAGTTTGCATCAAAAGGTTGTGTAACAAAATACTAAGTTAAGGGTACCATCATTTTTGTCCAAGCCAGTTTCATTATTTTGCTTTTTCTAATGATTCTGTTTAACAACAGGTGAAAAGCAATGCTTGATTTTCATTGGACAATTTTTAGTAAAGTTTCAAGTTATTTCAGTGATGACTGTTGATTTTTCTTTCATTGCCAGAGGGGTACCAACAATTTTGTCCATGTCTGTAGCATGCCTTGCACAGGATAATAAAACTGGAAGAGATTTCAGGACCATACAATACTTAGAAAAAGTCAAAGAAAGTTGTGGAAAACAACCCCTATTCCGTCGCTTAAACAGTTAAATGGGCATCATTCTAAAATCCTTCAAAAACAGGCCTAATTGCAGTGACACCTACTTTTGGCACAGCTGATTAAAGAGAATCTTGGGATTGACTGGGCCTTTCCCCGACTCTTTCATCGTCTGAAGGAAGAGGAACATGGCCGCTGTCAGCGGTTCAGGTCCAGACAGTGTAACAGTGAGTGGACTCTTTGAACAAAAGAACATAGTTAGATACATATAGATACATATCTATGGCATGGCAAAACAAATATACGAGTACATAGAAATTATGCTAAGTCTGACATAAATAAAAAAGGTATCTTACCAGATTAGCCTCAGTGGGGGGGCAGATTCTCAGTTTATATCCCTTTTCCTTCACTTCTTGTATTAGATCTATCAGCATGTGAGTCTGGGCCAGGTTCTATTTAAGCGTCAAAGGAGTTCCATGTTAGTTATGCATTATATGAGATTACTTTACAGTAAAATAACTGTGAAGGTGTAGTTATGCATACCAGACTATGCTTTTTTGGTTAATTAAAATCTCATTGTGAATTGTCATTTTCATTTAATATGATTTTTATAACTTGTGGTGAGTTTATTATTTTTTTAGAGAGACTTTCAGATCCATCCCCGCCCTGTGAGCTTTGAGAGAAGGAACGATCCTGCTGCCTAAAGCAGTTTTTGTCCCTTCATGTGAGAGAAGCCTCTTTTCCTTCCTTTCATGGGGTATTTGTTTTGTCACATACTGGCAATGAAGACAGTTGCTATGGAAAACACACAATGGAGCTGGCATTGTGAGCACAGACATGGCTCATCCTTTTAAAATTATGTGTTTTCACCAGAAAAATTGCAATTTTCAAGGAGACAATACAAACAGATAGGGAGAGGGATGGAAAAGCATGTAAAGCGCACTCACTCGAATTTCAATCACTGAGGAAGGCCCTGGGGGTGATTAACAAAATGGCGGAAAAAAACAGCTTCATTGTTGGAGAAACATGTCAGTTTACAGTCACCATGACATGACAATGGGGGGACTGGGGAGGCTCTACAGTTGTGTTGTATGGTGAACATGCTCTACACCAACTGTGCACCACTCGTGTGTGGACAGGTAAACAAGCTCAAACCTTTTGCTGTACTGAATATACCTCAGTGACCTCAAGGACTGGCTTGTTTATAGTCTCCACCACTATACACCACAAGAAAAAATCTGTAGTATAATTGAAATGATCAATTATATAATCTAAAAACACCTTAGGATATACTTGTATTTTGGATATAAAATGTTAGAAAAGGGCTCATGGTTGTATTCAAGACACTACTGCTATGAAAGTTCCAGTTTTCCTGGTTTGTACTTGTGATGTTTACAGTGACATACCATCCCTGGAAATCTACTCCACAGTTGTGGTATATATATATATATATATATATATATATATATATATATATATATATATATATATATATATATATATATATATATATATATATATATATATATATATATATATATATATATATATATATATATATATATATATATATATATATATATATATATATATATATATATATATATATATATATATATATATATATATATATATATATATATATATATATATATATATATATAAAAATAATGATAGATGTCTCTCATAGATTATAGCCATAGCATACATAAATATACAGTAACTGATCAACACATTTATAGTTGTAAAATGTCTCAACAACATTGTTGTGTTAAACTGCTAAAACCTGGATTAGGTCAAAGGCCAAGACAAACCTAGGTGTCACAAAACATAGGTTTAAAATAAAAAAAAAAATAATAAAAAAAAACACATTGACAAGGACTAAATCAGCAGATTTAGGAAAATTAGGTCTAGGCTAGAGGAGACTGCTTAGTGTTTTACAGGCTGTGTATTATAATCAGTAACACTAAAATGCATCTTTATTGGTTATTGGTTATTTTATTCTGGATTGCCCCTTGAAACGCATCAACTCCTTTTCAAGGAGCAATCCAGAGGGAATGTAGATGAGAGGGTGTTTATGTGAGTGATACTTCTGACTAGCCTTAAAAGCTGAACATTGATCATGCACTCTTAATTGTAACTGTAGTAAATGAATGTTGCCAACCTGCATGACAGCATTGAAGAAGCAGGTATTGCCCAAGTTTGTAATGCCTTTCACAGGAACTAAGGTGCTGTTAATTGCAGGACTTTTGCTTCTTGATGAATCAGAAAAATCTGATGATTCTTCTCTTAGTTTGATGGTCTTAGGTGACACTGCTGAAACATAGACAGACATTAAATACAAAATAACAAATGTATGCAACTCTTGTAAAGAAAGCGTTTTACACTGCTTTTTGTATCTGTTCTTCTTCTTCTTATTATTATTATTATCATTAATAATAATAATAATAATAATAATATTTCTAACATTATAAGCAAATTACTATTGGCTCCTTGTCAATCAAAATAAAAGTCATGTCTGGGAGCAGAATACAAGGCTGACAGCTGGAAGAAGGGATGGGCCAGAGCAGATAACAGCTGGAGAAGATACAGAGAAGTGGGGGCAGGGGGGCACAGAGAAGCCAGCTGTTCCTTATGATTGTCAATAAAACCAAACTTGTTCATGACCAAATGTTAATGGTACAGTAGATGAAGTCTCAAGGATCAGAGGTTGCAATTGTAAACTTACTGGCTCAAATGTACATGTACAAGATAAATAATGTATATTATTTGACACATACGGTAATCCCTTTGTATAGAAAAGGTGCTAAATCCCACAAAGCATATTTTTCTGTCCATTTGTTTTATCTGTTTATATGCAACCTATCAGCAGAAGAATAAGAGCTGCTTGCCGTTTTTCAAAAGTCTAAAATGGTAAATATTTTCACAGGCTGGCAGCATTCCTGCACAGGCCTTCAGACAGAGAAGAAAACACTACTACACAAAAAGTGTTTGGTTCATGAGCACTTCACCTCCTTGGCCGTTAAGAGAGCAGGCAGACACTGGGGTCACTGTTTTGAACCTGTTCCATTTCCAATCTAAGAAATTTCAATTGAACTGCACACATTCATAATCATCACATCAACCTGCACCTATACTCTGCTGTATCTCTCTTCCACACAGGATTGGCCTTGCCTTCAAACATTTTCAATTCACAGAAACCCCACACGCACATTACACTGAAAAGCTATTCATTCCAGCAGTGGTAAGCCCAGCGCTGGCCACTCACAAGTAGAACTAACAGCAAACTATTAAGTAATCTACATGGAAATGGGGCTTCTAAACTGATAGCATCCTCTGGTGTGTTCACTTATTAAATCTTCGGGAGAGCTTACAAATGCATGTAAAAACATAAAAATAATTTTAAAAGTGTTTTTGGGTTTTAGTTTTTAATTGATATTGAAAAATGACAAACAAGAGAGCGAGTTTTGGTGGTTTTGAGGTTCAAGTCTTGAACACATGGTCAAACAGCAGATACCATCAGACATGCAATATAACTTTGCTGTAGCAAAGAAACCAGAAACTAACTGAGAGTTGTGCGAATGCCTATGGACACTCTGCATCTGGGATCCTTACCCAAGGTAAACAATGTTCAGGAGCCATCTGGCAGAGGCTAGAAAAAAGGGGCGCAGAAGAGGGCAGTCGGAGGGGGACAGTGGGTGGAGGAAAGGTTTCTAGCAAGCACTAGCATATGGAAAAACAGATTTTTCCTCTCCCTGCAGCAGTCAGTGAAGGCAAATGTCAGCATGCTCTGTGTCTACGCTTGACTGTGCTGCAGTCGGCACTACCACCTGGCCCTCTCTGTTCAGCCACCGAGTGTTGGCTGCACTGACACTGTGGAGCCGCTCCCCAGGGCAAAGAGCAGAGCAGAGGCACGTACACCAACCACTCTACATCTGCACACCCTGGCTATTTGGACCACAAACTACTTTTTAAAAAAGAACACAAAACATTCATAATCATTTTAAATGTAAATGTAATATGTATTTAAAACTTTAAAAAGTATTTTTTGAAAACCATATCCAGTCACATTTTATAGTGTTGATTGGACTTCATGCCTCCTTAGTGCTCACTTACAACACTGCAATGTGTGGTACCAAGGCCAGCTCCTCTCATGCAGAGCAGGCAGTGAAGGGGAAGGCCAAGCAACACCAAATGTCTTATTAATTTGCAAATTTGTTGTGACTGCAGGGCATAAAAGCCAGTTTCCTTGCCATCTGAGGCCAAGAGTACCACTGCCATGTTACTTACACATATACACACAAACAGACGCTGGCTTTGCTACCCACTATCTGGCCTACTTTCATGTGCGATGGTGGAATAAAGACAGGATCACCCTTGATTACCCCTGTGAAAGCACCACCAGGGGACAAGCCTCTTAATGACCACTCACTCGGGAAAATAAAACTGACAGCAAATGTGGGGAAGGTGTAAGAATTTCACTTAACACTTTCTGCTCACCCCTCATGGCAGACTCATGTCAATTAGTTAAGTTTCCACAAAATACAATTGAGTAAGATAATAGGGAAGCTTAAGTTACAAATAGTCTACTAATTCAATATCAGCAATGTGTGGTTTTGTGATGCTTATATTAATTAAAAAAGCAATTTCCAAATATAATTAAAGCACCCATTTATATGATTTGTTTATAAAATGTGTTTTAGTATCATTAAATAAAACTAAACAATAAATGACTTGTACAATTTTGCTCTAAGGTTTTTCTGAACCTAACATTTTAATTTGTACAACAAAGCATCTCCAGCTGAGATACAAGTTGAGTCTAGCTCCCTGACGTCAAGGTGCTTTTACTGGGACTGTGGTACTTGAGCTGAAGGCCTTGATGGTGAGAGAGCATGGTTAATCGACTTTCTTTCTTCCTTGAGCTGTTGTTGTACAAAATTATTATAGATTCTGGGAAAAAAAATCCTTGCTTGGATTCTTTTGTACTTGGGGTCTATAGGAAACAACAGTGCAACAGCAGTCTTCTCTGAAAATCTGGCCTTCACAGTGAAATGCAATTTCACAAGCCCCTCGGCCAACAACAACTGCCTATTTTTGCTGCAACAATAGCCATTGCCTTCCATAACCCTTTAGCCACCGGTGTGATGGCAGGAAAGGTGACAGGTAATTTTAAAGAAGCAAGGGAGGAACGCTGTCCAAGCAGGTCACTGGCTATCCAACAGGCGCATACTTAAAATGACTGACTATAGGGCTTAACGAAAAGAATTAATGTTGAATGTTTAACATGTTATCTATCCCTGAAAATGTGATTCATGAGTGACTATAATAATACAATAGACATACTATAAATCATGTCTGCCACTTTGCTCAAAGCACTATTTCGCAGGTATGTAATGTACTTGGCAAAAGTTCAAGATGACAATATTCAGAGTTCCTCTCTTAAAAATGTAGTTTTCAGAATAAAGTGTGGTAACCACGAGGCAAAGATGGCAGCAAGAATACTTTCTTGTATATGTTTATATTATTAGTAAAAACAAACAATGAGGCTCCTCATATGGATGTAAGGCTGTTCACAATATGTATTCTTATGATGTTTGTTGGGTCGTGTACCCAGGGATTACATGATGTCAAGGTGGGCCCTCAAAGGAATTTGAAACAAATGTTTATTTGTGTATGTCTATAGAGAGTTGAGAGTGCGCTCCAGCTGCGAAGATCCCACTGCTCTGACTTGTGGAGGACCCTGGCTCCCACTAGTGCAGCACACAGGCCCAGAGGTGGTGAGACATGCGGCACAGTAACAAGAAACACGACACAGATCGCAGAGACAAAGAGTGACAGGGCAGAGGCTGAACCCTGCACAGCTGCTCTTGTTCTTTAGGGAACCCAGCTGGGAAACAGTGCTCAGGCGCCTAATTCCTCTAATGTGTGCATTCATGCAAGAGACAGGGTTAGGGAATGGGTGGGGAATTTCTAAAACTCTACAACAATTCCGCATGCACAACTGAGTGACTGTTGGGGAACCAGTCACGCTGAGCCTGGATAAATGAACTATGACAACTTTCACGAAATGTAGGCTTTTTTACCATCTGGCTGAATAGCAGATGACTCAAAACAAAAAGGTTGTGTTGTAAAATAAGACGATTGGTAATATATATACATTTTATCTACAAATGCAAGTCTATAGTCTATTAAGGCATAAAAAATTTACTGACACTGTATATTATCAGAGACTCCATGTTTAATTCTATGGATTGCCATCTGCAAATATCTTCTGTTAACTATTACCAGCAGGGGGAGCCTGCACACAGCTGCATATGATGCTGTTCACTAATACAGGGTTATGTTTTTGTGTCTGAAATATTTCTAACCTGCGACACACAATTCTTCATTGTAAACAGAAATTAAATTACATGGAGAGTCTGTATTTAGAACCAACAGAAGCAGGGGAAAAAGTACAACTGTTTATAACATTAATAGAGAATTCTCTATTGTCCCAAGGCCAAAATGCCTACCCAACAGATTTTTCAATGGTTAAAAGTATAACACAAAAGAAGGTTACCAGACCTTCAACATTTTGGCAAATACTGTACCTGATGTTGCCTTGACAGACTGCTTTTGTAGAAAGTCCAGGGTCTGAGCCAAAGCTTTCTTGTTGCAGTGAGTGGATAGTTCCTCGTTACATTCAAAACACCTGGCAAAAAAGGGCAAAAAAAGGACAAAAAAAATCTGAAATGTGCACAAGTTTGGGGCATTACTAATTATGTTGAAATTAACCATTCACTATTAAATTTACAAAAGATGGGATTTGACAAGAAATAATATAACAAGAAATATTGAACACATTTTTTTTTCTTTTTGGTGTCATCTCACCAGGCCTTCCATGTGCTTAGACTTATAGTTATGCAATGTGACTCAGGGTGGAACGCCTGGTGGTGTTTCACAGCATGTTGGATTCCTGACTTATTACAACCCTGTAATCAAAAAAAAAAAAAATCTAATCTTTATTTCCATAAATGATTTTCAGTTATTATTTTTAAATGTAATAAAATCCTAACCTGGAATCCACACTTGAGACAGACAAGGATTTCATGTGATCCTACCGACTCGCCCTCAGTAAGGGTCCTTTCTTTAAGACACTCAGAGCACACTAACCACACACTGGACAGCACAGACTTCTTCACTGAGTTCAGATCTACGGCCTTACTTACATGCTGACACGTCAGCCCTGAAGATGAATTATGAGAGAATTATGACATGTGCAAAGCTATTAGACAAGGGGGGAAAAATACTGTAAACACTACTGCCTTGTATTTTGCTGCATTTACAGTTCATGATGGAGACTTACCACTGACTTCATCTGATGACTCCTCATCTCGAGGCTTTCTTGGTTTATTTGTCCGCTTAGTCATTTCTGCGGCTTTTAAAGAGAAGGGGTCCTTTAGCCGCATTTGGAAAGCTGGAGTTCAGAATGTGAATCAAAGAGCATTCATTACTGATGAAGTTGACATGACTTTGACAATATTTCAAATGCACTGTTGAGCTCCTTATAATTGTTAAACACTGCCAAATTTTGAGAAAGGTAATTCTTCTTTATCTATACATACCATTGGTTGACTTGAATGTAAATGTTAAAAGACATACCATGAACAGGGTTTGATAGAGCCACATACGCATTTAAATCCAAATGGAGGATCATCAAGCACTGTGACTTTGCTCAATAAGTATATTAAATCAAAATAATACAATACTCACCTTAATTCTAGATCCTATGCCTGTGTTAACTACCTTTTAGCTAACAGAACAAGCCAGCTGTTCCTGGCTACAAAATGTGACTAGCTACATTAGCTTGCAAGAGCAAACTAGCCTCTTGGAAAAAATAACAATCTTTCAACGTATTTTCCATGAAGATATCAAGGACATATTTCAAACACTTTAATCAATAAAGTAATACTGGTTATTTGTGGAATACGCATTGATATGTTCTACATTTATCTGGCTAACGCTAGCATCGAATGACAACACTTGGTGACGCACTACGGCAACAACGCGTGTGGTCCATTCACGGTCCATCGAAAAAACTGCCATTAGATAACCCCTATGCAAAATTAGAAAAAAATAAAATTAAAATTAAACGATATATTTGTACGTTTACATGGTCTTTCGGTGAAACACAAAGTTAACTGTATATTTTATATTCGTATTGATTTCACAGTATAAACACTGCTCATAATATACATACACATTTTATGTATCACATTTATTCAAACCATGATCATTTAAAATTGTAAGCAGCAATTCGCCTTTAATGACATCCTCCCGTTGTTTATTGCCTCCAATTATCCCACAGTGTGTCATCATTATTGGGTAATTAACTCCATGTTACCGTTTCCCTTTCCCACTGAAGTTTCTTACGCAACCGCATATGACCTTTTGAGTTTTTGCGCATGCGCTTAAGGGTTAGTATTGCTGGTATGCCATCACCAGCCTGGACCGCTTAATACACCATATTATGATCGAATAACCAAGCGTACCTGTTTCTAGTTGCACATGGCTCACAGGATATGCTGGAGGGTTGCGTCCGTCAGCTCCCGTCTCTGGAGGAGGAGTCCAGTATTTCTTGATAATTGCTTTCCGAGAGGTCAAATCCGACTGCCCAGCTTTGTCAACAGTCAGGGTCGATTCCCGAGTGAGTCTACCATGTTGCTATAAAACTTCCAAAACACTTGTCTGATCATATGAAGCCCGCACCAACAGTTGTACTCTTATTTTCATACTCGCACTTGTTTGTCCTTTAGGTACAAGGTTGTTTGTTAATAGATTCAGTGCAACGCCACTGAGCGCAGATGTGAGCTACGAGGAGCTAAAGCAAATCGTGGATGGACGAAACAAAGCAGTCATTATAGATGTCAGGGAGCCATGGGAGCTCAGGGAATATGGAGCTATCCCAGGATCTATCAACGTGCCCCGTAAGCATGCACTCACTAACCATAACATTTATCGCTAAACCCCTCTAAGCCATAATATGCCCATAGCCTGCAGGCCTATGCTGGTAACTAAAATGTGACCTAAACAATGATATTGGCTCACTTGTACTTGTCCAGTTGTTTTTAACTGGCTTGACTTTCTCCTGCTGTGCATAGAAATATCCCTTTAATCTAATACACTTCCATATTTTATCTGCTTTGGTCCTGGTTTAGTCCTGATGTAGACTTTGTTTCCTCAAGGATTAGTTCCTATTTAGTGTGTTTTCACATTTAGCCACAGAATTAAATTCTGATCATTGATGTGTGGAAACCAATTGCAGGATACTTTGATATAAATCAAATTATCAGAGGACCGGGGGCCTCATGCGACCCTCAGACCAATTTTTATTTGCTCTCAAGCCATCTGCTGAAATGGTTAAGTAATTCTGTAACTATAACCTCAATAGCATCACAAAACATTGTGATACAGACCTGAAATTAGTGTTCCAAGCTTTATTAAAGGTATGGTAGCTCTGTCAAAACTTTGTCACATGCACCCATCTGAATGATCCACTGTTTTGACCACTGCTCTTTAGCCCTCTGCTTCAAATATATCACCCTTGGTGAAAAAAGTTTGGACACCCCTGATTTAAAAGGGAGTTGTTTGATTTGCTAATTATAAGGTAAGGGGCAAATTATTTACTAAAATAATTGTCCTGTTAAGTATTTGTTGCTCTGCCTAGAATTAAATGTATTCAGTTTACATTGTACATATTATCAATGTTTTGTAGTGGGTCAAATAAACACTGCTCTTCGGCTGGAGGCAGAGGAGTTCCTGGAGAAGTATGGAGGTAAAATGCCCCAACTAACTGACAGCATAGTGTTCACCTGTTTGGCTGGAGTCCGCAGCCTGATAGCTCTGGAGACTGCCAACTCAATGGGATACAAGAGGTGAGAAAGTGTGTATAAGTTGTTTGTGCATTTTTTTTATCACAGGGTTAGTAATATGATTATTGTTCATAGTTGCAATGCAGGAAGCATACAGTCATTGAGTACTTTTTGTTTTCCCAAATTCCAGTGTTCAACATTACCCGGGTGGATGGCAAGAGTGGATGACACTTGAACAGAAGAATGCTCCATAAATTACATTTGGATATTTCTTGCATGATTTGTACCAAAGATACAAATTTAATTTTGAGTTGATGATGTGATGGTTAAATGTCTTCACAACAAATTCATCTAAAATCAGTCTTAATGTGAATGTGCTAGATACACTAACTATGCAAAGCTAGAGCCACTGAGTGAGAGTCAGGCTGTACATGGTCATGTGAGGTGACACATTTACATGTGGATAGTGAAAACAGTGATTATTTGGACATCAGTAATTCACAGACGGTGCCTCTTTTTCTATAGTCCTAATGTATTGAGTGGATAACCTTTTCTGTCAATTTGTTATGGCTCTGGTAATCCCTTTTAAACTGTGACTGTGGACATACAATTCTCAAATAATTAGATTTCAACATTTGAAATGTTTTTGTATATAAATAATGGCTGAATACAGTCCATGAAGGGACGAAAATAAAATTTGTTTTCATGAACTGTTTGAGTCTTATTTTTTACATTGGTATTGTTAAAATGAGCTCAGATAATGAACAGTATAGATGTGCTGTGCCTAATATCTCCCAGTATGAATTTGCCACTGACTCTTTAAAATGTTTCTTGTTCCAAATACAATCACACAGTCATAAATTAGAGAAGGATGAAATCTGTTCTGTCCTGCCTGTTCTGTTGTGACCATGAACCTTGTTCCCTATGTACTTACTTTTTACAGCTTAAGATAGATACCTTAAAGGAACATTGAGTTTTCAATTTATATAGACAATTATTACGTTACTTCAGATTATGCTAATTTTGAAACTTTGAAATTTGTTAATATTAGACCACTGTCACCATTGATGACTCGGCCGATCACTCTAATAAAAGACTCACTTGAAGTTTGCAAGATATCATTATTTCAAAATATTTAATATATTTATTAAAAAAAAGAAAGAGATACTGAAGTGGCAGTAGAAGAACACATGTACTATTAATCACAAGATCCACTTCATCAATATAGTCATAATGCTAAGTGGTGCTTTTGTTGGCATTTGAAGTGAAGGCTTTTTAAATGCCACAAAGATGAGTGATGTTATTTCATTAGAGGATTAAAAGAGCTATGAAAGATGAGCCCAATTGTGCATGTGATTGAATAAAACTGTGCCACCACCTCTTTCCAAACATGCCAGGCTGCTGCAAAGTCTGAGGTCAATGGAAAGAATAGGCAACGGGTTAGGAAATCAACAACACTGGGAAGTGTCATGGACATTCACAAGAAAAAAAACAAAACACAGCTGCTCATTTTGATAGGATTAACAAAACAGTTGATTTATATCTAATACAGAGAATTTATACATTATTAACTTGATATTTTATAGATGTTGGAAGATGACTTGCATTTAACATATTTATGAAGATAAGTTTTCAGAAGTTGAATAATAAGATATTTATGAATTTAACACCTGAGATGCAGTGTCACCTTTTCGACATAACCCAACAATCACAGCTGAATGTGTATAACCCAGTTTTTATGTGCTTTGTCTCTTTAAACATAATGTATATTTTTAGCATTTTTATTTAAAGTTCCATAAATGTGTTCTTCAAATTAAGCATTGCTTTTATATAACAATGTAGTGTGATTTATTCTTAATTACAAACACATTGGACATATTTTTCCAAGTTGTTATTTTCATTTGGTGTCTTAGTTCTGTTTTGGGTTGCCAGTTCCAATATGAATCCAATTGGTTTAACCCTAACCTCTTCCTGACCTGACCTCACTACCTAAAGCTCAGCACCTACAGTGCAGTGCTATACAGCCTTTGCAACTCAGCGAATGATGCTCAGTTTTTTAAACCAGCAAGTATGTAGACTTAATATCTGCTTTAGCTAGTTACTCAGTGCTGCAGTGCCCCACAAAGTGCCCAACTTCACTGGAACAACCCTGTGATACCTTTACAGCACACATCATTTTCTATTTTGTTCATTTCTTGAACACAGTGTCAAGTGATGCTATATCTATCCCATTCCTTTATTCACAAACTGTTGACAGATGGGAGCAGCAGGTCAACTTTGGATTGGTGCAAGGGTTCGAGATTCCACAGCAGCTCCATGAACAGCGCCCTCCTGTATGTTGGGTGGGCATGGTTGTAAATGGGGTTATAAAACCAGTCACTGGGCTAAAAATCAAGCACTGCGAACAAGCTGCAGAAGCTGTTAAGTCTTTTGTTTTGGAAAGTACATCTATTCCTTGTGTGTAGCCAACATGAGCCGCAGCCCTGAGAGAATTTCATCCTACCGTCGACATTTTGAGGAGGGGGTAAGCTCGTCCTATCAGGTACGGGTATCCAGTCCTTCCCCTGTCCGGAGAGAGGGTCGTGCTGGCTCTGCTGTGGGATACTCTGGTAGAGCTGGAGCTGCAGTTGTCCGCATGGAATCAGCGGGACGGACCATGTCAGCTGCCCGCAGGTCTCGCATGATTGGAGCAGGGTAAGACTCTAAGAAGGGGATGAAATGCAGATAGATTTTTTCTTTTATGTGTTTGCACATGGTTCCTTTTAAAATAAACAAATTTAAAAAAAAAAAATCTGGGCCTTTATGAAAACACTGTATAAAAATAGACCGTTAGAATAAAGTATTGTTATGCCCCATAATATATGCAATAAAAAAAGTAATAGTTTTCTTACTTTTACCTTTTTCAGGGTGGGTGGTGGGGCCCTTGTCTGTGTGGGGCCAACTGGAGAGCCTCCTCTGGATCTGGATGCAGCTGCAATTGAAAACCAGGAGTTCAAAAGCACCCGCCACAGTGAAAGACAAGAGATGATTGTTTTGAATGATCGACTGGCTGTCTATATAGATAAAGTGAATAAGATAGTCTTAAACTTTGCTCATGACTGTTGACCTAATTTTTGCAATATCTCACACCTCAAACTGTTCTTACTGTTTCTTATGTAGGTGCGATCTCTGGAACAGCAAAATAAACTACTGGAAGCAGAGATAGAAGCCTATCAAAATCGTTTTGTGAAGCCATCTGGTCTGCGACAGCTGTATGAAGAACAACTGAGGGAGCTGAAAAAGATTGCTGACCAAATGAAAGCTCAGAGGGTAAAATGTGTTCAATCCTCTCATACAAAGATATTTTCGAGGCAAAACTTTAGTTTCAAGCTAAATTTTACCTCACTAAGTTTTACAAGAAATGTCTGGGCAGAAAACTTTATGTCAACTTGATGTTTTCAAGGTTGTTTACCTGCTAGACTGCTCTTATTTATGGCAGGCAAATACATAGATGTGCTAAAGTGTCACAGAGTACAAGGGGCTTTATGCACACTTGAGGGGACATGGTTAGTCACACACACACATTCTCACAGACACAGGAAAGATTATTTCAGCATTTTACAGACACCTTTATGCACTCACCTCCAAATCAATTATGATTCATTTTGCCTATGGCTTCTGGGTGTCTAGGACAATGCATTTGCAGCCAAGGATTCCACAGCTGCGCAACTGGCAGCAATGAAACTGAAATATGAGGAAGCTATTGAGTTAAGGAGAAAAGCTGAGGCTGAAATTGAAGCTTTCCGTCCAGTAAGTAGTTTACATAAAATATTACTGAGTATCTTTTCAAGTCAAAAAATTATGCCACAGTTACAACAGGTTTTATTTTGTAGGATGTTGATCAAGCCACCTCCTCTCGCATTGCATTGGAGAAGAGACTCGAGCAGTTGGAAGTGGAAATTGAGTTCCTGAAACGTGTTCATCAACAAGTGAATAATTATATTTAAGAACAAAACATCTATGTAAAAATGAAATTACAATTTATGCAATTACAATAGATTTTGTCATTTTGTCTTTACAGGAAATCGATGAGCTGATGAAGCAAATTTATGCTGCTCATGTGTCAGCTGCCAGTGCATTTTCTCTTCCTGATTTGGCCGGGGCCCTTAAACAAATCCAAAACCAATACGATGATATTGCCGCTAAAAATCTGCAGGTAAAAATCATGTTATTCTTTATAATGAGAAAAAGGACTATTTATAAAATAAAATGAAGAAAGTGTTACTGAAAACATTTTTGTGTGTTTTTTTTTTTATATAGGAGATGGATTCTTGGTATAAAAACAAGTTTGAGGATATCAATAAAAAAACATCCAGACATGTGGATCATGTTCGAAGTTACAGAGAGGGGATAGGGAATGCCAAAAAAGATGTGAGTATACAGTACCTAAACCTAAAATGATAGGGTTAATATTTATTTCTATGTACTGACCAGCAATAAAATAATTATTTAAAGATTCAAAATAAAGAACGTGACCTGGAAGCTCTCAAAACCAAGAATGAAGCTCTTGAAGCCAAAATACTTGAGATGCAAGAAAAGTATAGGAAGGAGTTAGAGGAACTGCAGGTATACATTAAATGCTTATCACAACTCTTGATTCGTAAATAAATAAATAAATAAATAAATGAATAATAATAATAATAATATATACAATTACAATACATTCAATTTATTGACAATGTTTAGGCCAGGATTGAGAGCTTGCAGATTGAGTTGAAAACCACCAAAGAGAAAATTGCCTTGCACCTGCGCGAGTACCAGGACCTCCTGAATATTAAAATGTCACTGGAGATTGAGATTACAACTTACAGGTAAAGAAAAGATTTCAAATATGCATGGAGATTGTCAGCTAATGCAGTAACAACTATATTTTGTCTTTTCCAGGAAACTGATTGAGGGAGAGGATCTGCGTCTGGCTGGGATGATGCAAACTTTGTCTCTTTCCAGCTGTAGCATGAGTGCCATTGGTTCTGGGATGAGCTTCGGCGAAGGAGGCATAGGCGGTGTAGGTGGAACTGGTGGAGGAGGAGTTGGAGTGGTTGGAGTTAGCAGTGGAGGCTATGGTGGTGGAGCAGGAGTAGATGGAGCACGAGTGGGTGTCACAGGTGCTGCTATGGGTGTGTCTGGTAGGGAAGGAGCTAGTGATGGGAGTGCTGTTGTGGGTGGAGTTAACGTAGGGGTTATGGGTGTAAGTAGCGCAATGTCAGGAGCTTCAGGTTTTGATGGTGCTGGTGTAACAGATGCTAGCACCATAGCGGGTGGAGTCAGTGCTCGGGAAAGGGGTGGCTTTGGTCCTGGAGATGTTGGCGCAGGTCTTGATGGTTTGGGACCAAGCCTAAAAAGGGCAGATACAGAAGGAGCACATATGAAAGCCAAGGCTGAAGGTAGTGGTATCGGTCTTGGTACAGGTCTTAGAATCTCTGAAATTGAGAGCAGTCTTGGAAGGCCTGGGTCTAATCTTGGACGAGGAATGGACACTGATGTAGGTGCTATTGGGGCTATCACTGGAGAGGGGATGGAAAGTAGTCTTGACAGAACTGTGGCGGGCTTGGAAAGTAGAGGAACTGGTACAACTGGTCCACACCCTGGGGTAGGCAGGGGTACCGCTGCCACTGGGGCAAGTTTTGAAGGTTTGGAAGCTGGAGCAGTGGACACCAGTCGAGGAATTGGTCTTGAAGGTAGAGGCATTGGTCCAGGGGGTGCATACTCTGGTGTGGTTGGTGCAGGTACTGATCTCACTAGTGCTGGAGCTAGTTCTGAAACCACTAATGCAGGTCTTTTAGGGGTGGGCACACCTGGTGGTACCAGTGCGGGAGGACATGGCACTAGCTCTGAGAGTGCAGTAATTGGCTCTGGAGTAAGGGCTACAGGTTTAGCTGGTTCTCAACCTGGTGGTTTTGGAGATTCAGGTTCAGTAGGTGGGGAAGGGTCCAGCTTGGATGCCAGTAAAGTTGAAGGAACAGGTGTCAGTGGTCCTTCAAGAGATGGCAAAGCTGGTTCAGGTTCAGGAAGGAGTGTAGAGGCAGCTGGACCGGGCATTGTTGGTGATGGGGGTATGGTCAGTGGACTGGGCTGTGGTGATATTGGATTTGGACCAAAAAGTTTAGCAGCGGCAGGAAAGGTGTGCAGTGGCTCTGGGGTGGGGATTGGATCTGATCAATTTGGCAGCAGCATTGAGCCCTATGCCGAGCAGGCTGTGGAGGTGACAGAGAGAAGGACAGTTCTTATTAGGTAAAGGGTACCATGGGCTTTTCTAATTCAAATTTTACAATGTCATCTTATTCATCCATCCATCCATCCATCCATGAAAACAGAAAATACAGAATATTAAAAAGTCATAGACCTGTCAGTTCAGTAGTTTCAGTAACCACAATACTGTTATTCTGTTGAAATGTTGAGTGAGTTCAGTTGAATAACATTCAAAATAGTGATTTGACTTTTTAAAATTTATTTGTTAACTATTTTTGCTACATGCCACATAAAATCCTAATAAACAGTATTTTGCATAGTACCACTTATTGTTATATCCAACTAACACCACTTTTCTCTGAATGCATTACAGAACAGTTAAACATGCCAATGAAGTTCTAGAGATGGACCATCAGGAACAGACCTACACCATCAGCGGTGCAGCCGACTCTGATAATGAATAAGAAGCAGCAGCCCCCCTGACCTCTGCTCGCCCTTAAACCTCCATGCCCCACCCAGCTCCCACACTCACCAAGGCCCATGTCTGGACACTGACCTCCCACCTTTGCCCTGGACAAGAGCACCATAAATGATTGTTTGCCACTTAATGCTGCCGTCACCACTGGCTTTTAACTTAATAGCTCTGCAAAGATCACACACTCTTAGCTTTTTGAATGTCTATAAGCACACCCCTTTGTCCTCTCATTGCCAATAAAGCTATCAGCATCTGACTATGCTTGATTTATTTGTATTTTTTTTCTATAATAAGTAATTCATAATTTCATCCAGAATCTAAGTTTAGTATGAAAATTAGACCATAGCACAAGAAAGCTTAAGATATAAAATATCTTGGTTGAATTTTTAAAAATAAATACAAAGAAATCAGAGATGAGTTGAATGAAGAGTCCAAAAGATTCTACCCTGACACTGTATTGAGGGCAAAAGCATTCACTATCACTCAGACTTTCTGCTACAATCAAGTGACAGCACGCATACACTTTCTGTCCTCAATCCATCCACATCTACACCTTCTCCTATCTCCTCTTAGTGGAAGTGATTGGATTGGGGTGCTGATGCCAGGCAAGCTCAATGTTCATTGTACAGTAGAAACTATAAAACACACACAAAAGCAATAGTCTTTAATGTTTATTTATTAAATTATTATTTTAATATAAAAGGTCTAACCTCAAAGGATATTTTACAGACATCTTAGGTTTGTTGTATGATTACATTTTTATTTTAATAATCTCTCAGTCTTACACTTGATGACCCTTAAAAATAACATAAGGAATAAAAAAAAAAAAAGTTTAAAAAATGAAGCAAATATTGTGATCAGTACATCAGTACTTCTACTCACAAGTAAAAGACAACAGAGAATATTGTTTTGAGTATAACTTCCTGAAAACTGCCCTTGAGGACATAAAAACGAGGTTATTGCTTTGAGTTAAGGTTAGATGATTAGACTATAAGAAATTTCATCTTGATTTCCTTGATTTCGTTTCATAATATCGTTCCACAAGCTCAGCCCTCCTAAGCCCAGTCTATTCTGCAATTAGCTTGAACCCAGAACTGTCAGTTCTGCAGTATAATGAGGACGGTGCAGACGGACATATCATTAGTTTGCATTTTGTAACAGCGAATTATTTACGTGCTTCTGAGCGCGCGCAGTTGTGTTCGTGTGCATGTACCTACTATGCATTTATTTTTGATTAGGTGAAGGGAGTTTGAAAGCATTGTCAAAAATAAAATGGGACCAGACTGATCATCAATATAATTAATAGGATTTACTTTTGCTCTAACTCTCCAAGACGCTCACGCCTATATATCGTATCTTCAAAAAGGATTCGGCAAATTAGGCCTATAATGTATTATTATTATTATTATTATTATTATTATTATTATTATTATTATTATTATTATTATTATTATTATTATTATTATCCAGCTATTGTTTGCTGCATCATCAGTTAAAATTCATAATTAGACCCAGATGTTGACCTTTTGTATTGCACTCATATCCTATAGCCTAATCTAACAATAATAATCATTTTTCCTCTCGTTTTTTTTTTTTTTTTTCTCTCCAAACAGATCATATAAGGAGCTGTCTTTCCTATTACGCACAGAAATCGCAAGTCAAGGTTACGTCCTGCTCTTTGCCATTGAGTTGTTTTTTTTTGCACTTTCCTTGTGAGAAAACAGACCTGAAGTCGATTGGGTCACTACCTCAGTGTCGCAGGCTACACGCTGCTCTTCTCTGAGGCGAGGGAAAAGGCGGAAGGGCAAAAGTTTCAACTCTCTTTGAAACTTGCAATTCTCTGACACTTTGTGCATATGCTTTGGGTGGCTAAATCCCAATTAGGGTCGGCTGACACGCTGCTCTATTCACACACAGTTCGGGCTGAATACATTTGCCTAGGAATGAACAGATTAAATAGATCTCCTGCTAAATGCGTTGGACAGCAGAGAAAATCGGCCTGAGTGATACTTTCTTTTTGAGGCTCTCCAGTGAGAAAAGGTATGAATTTATAAGGTACACCGAAACATATCAATTCTCACAACTTAACATGCCTTTATCCAAGTCTCCTCAGGCGAGACAATGTGTTAGGGAAATGCGGCGGGAGAGAACTTTACAGAGACTTTGAATACCGAAACGGTGCAGCCCACTTCAAGGCGTAAAAAGGCGAATGAACGCACGCATGAACAGCGCTGAATCAGGTGCCGTTTATTCGCCTCTTCTCTAATGCGATTTTGAATATTAGTCTGGGTTAAAATCCCAATCATGTCATCTGGTGGGAGTCCCATACAAGCATAATTACTATTCAAACGCGTCGCTAATGTCCCACCCGCATCAAGGCAGCTGGTCTGCCCTGGGCGCAGCTTGCAACTTTCCCCATCTTTCTCACAAAGTCACTTCAACAAGGGCAAAATGAAAAAAAAAAAAAAAAAAAAAAAAAAAAAAAAAAAAGCAAAGATAAACGATTAAAGTTTTCTTCAGCAGATCCGAACGGAATATTAATAAGTCTAAGACATTTAGAGTCTTTGTTTTACATTAAAAGGTGTGACCAGACAAATGTGAAAGGTGAAGAAATATACTCATTTTTGAGACGTGGGAATGTGTGAGAAATAGGCCACATCGCCGGCCTTTTGCTAAATGGGACAATGATTGCGTTGCAGTGAATGGAGGCAAACAACATTTATGGGTCGACATAAAAAATGTGTTTTCTTCTTTGCTCTTAGGGGTCCTCAATGGTGGGGTATTGAAACCAGTCCAGAGAGGAGCTGGTGAACCCTTGGCACCCCTGAAGTATGGCCGTGGCGCTTGAATGGAGATCCCTGGTGGGGCATTGCCTCGTGCATTTACCGCTTTCCTTTGCAGACAGGTTGTTCCTCTGTATTCATGGCTCATTAATGGCCAACCAGCTCAATCAGAGCCTCTGACTTAAAACAGTAAAGTCCAAAAAGGGCTGGCAGGAGTCAGCCAAAGCGGGTCATAAAACCCTGAGCTGCAAGAAGTTCTTATTATTTTCAAGTCGTTTTTTAAGTTCATTAAAGGCATCAACTTACGGACAGTTGTTGATGAACTTCGCAAGAATAAAGATCCGACCATGTAATTAATGTATTTTCTGAAGAAAGGGGAACAGGGACAATACCGATGGTCGAAGCGTTTAATTTCATTTAATTTTCCATCCCATTTGCTCCACACACTGCATTCTCTCTAACACTGAGGCTTTTGGAACGCGGATTCACCAAAAGGGGGAAAACACCATTCTTTACACCAGGAATAATTCTTTTGAGCAGAGAGGCTGGATTTTATGCAGAGCACCAGTGGATGGGAACCAGTCACAAATAGTGCGGAGTTAATAAATAACCCAAGACTACAGCCAGGCACCAACATTGCGGCTATTGAAGAGATTGTTCGCGTGTCGCCCGGGCACTTCATGCGCAGGAGCGCATCTCGGCAGGGATTCCTGCAAAGAGGAGAAGGTGATGGGAGTTAATATTAATAAAGCAAGATGTGTCTGTGGGAAAAATCATTTTTAAAAAGCGGAAAAAAAATAAATAAATAAATAAATAAAATAAATAATAATAATAATAATAATAATAATAATAATAATAATAATAATAATAATAATAATAATAATATTTAAATAAATGGTGGTCCAAGCAAGTGGTTTGTTCTCTCCCCGGTAAACTGTGGACAGGTCACAGGTCATCATGTCGCTCTGAACTAGTGGACAACAATGTAGCCTATATTTTCTCTTTGTAGTTGATTCAATAATAATAATAATAATAATAATAATAATAATAATAATAATAATAATAATAATAATAATAATAATAATAATAATAATAATAATAATAATATGTGTATTCAAGAGCGTTAAAAAGTATTGATTCTAAATAAAATGTAGCCTAATTCATATTTTCTTATTTTGTTCATTCAAATTCAAGGCAGAGCTGAGTCAAAAGAGGAAAAAATATAAATATAATTTTGCTCCGTGTAGCTGGTGGTTCAGCCCTAGTCCTGCTTGGTCCCAGCCCGGCACACGCCGAGAGTCAATAGAAGTTAACAAGTCCTCTAAACTTTGGTGCTCCTTTTGTCCAACTAAAGACACAAAGGGGGTGAAAAAGAAAAGGCTTTGAAGTATATGAACCCCCAAGAATAGCCGGCCAAGTAGATTTAAAGTAGTCACTGATTTCCAAAAGCTTGCTGAATAGGAAGAATGGAAAGGGGTGAGGATTTATGGAGAAATTATACAGTGGATTTGTCAGTTCAAATATCGGAACTGTCTACGGAACAAAGCCACATGCTGAGGATTAATGGTTGCTCTGGACCTTTGATTCTGCACCCTCTTTTCTCTGCCCTTGACAAATTGGATTTTGGGGATGGGAAGGTCGCGAGGACCTTTGTGTCTCTTGACCGTTTTGGGGCAATTCATTATGCGGCAGAGTGAGGGAAAGTCTCCATGTGACCACAAGACTGGGCCCGTTTTGAGCCCCGCGCGCACAGCTGCTGGGAGACCCAACTCTCTCACACTCACGCGCACTTCCACGCGCAGAAGCTGCAGCTTCTCTTCTGTGCATCACCTACAGGATCACAGTCAGGAAGGAGAGGTGGGGGTCTGCTTGGAGTGGTGGAGGGAGGGGGGGTACCTTTGACTTGCACCGTCACTAGAAAAGCCGAAGAGGTGCACGCAGCGCGTCACTTTGAGGGCGGACATCAGCCAGTCCTTTTCCTCCTCTTCATCTCCATCCTTCTCCCCGCAGTATCCCTCTCGGTCGTCAGCAGGCTTCATGGTTCTGATCTCACCCCACGCCATGCAAGCAAGCAGGGCGTCCTCCACGCTCAGTGTGTTCGCGGACTGCAGTTTCCCAGCAGGGCTACGGATAGGTCCGGTACCGGGAGTCTTCAAACTTGGAAAGTACACGTCAGACCGCAAGGAAGTGGGACCCAAGAAGAAGGTTAGTGCCTAAAGAGCTTTATGGTATAAACCTAGCCTAATTATAACTCTAATAATCTAATGTAAATTGTAGTATTACATTTACTATTATTTTAACGACTTCATTGGCAGATTATTTTTTCTTAAATGTTATTTTACATGAAATAAATATACCTAGGCCTAATGCTTAACATATCTTTAATGTTTGACAAAGAAACAAAAATGTGTAGGCTTAGGACAACATATTTGAAATGATCTGTTTTGATTTCGAAACCTCTGTCAAACTCAATCGTGATTCGTACTGTTTATTTCTTTGGCCTGTCGTGTAAGGGATAATTGAGCTCCATTAGCGGCAGTCTTGTCAGTCTGCGCCTCTGCGTTGCCTTTACTTCACCGGCCTAATGGGACTCAGTTATCCTCATGAGCCGTTAAACCTTAATGTAATCTGGCCACGGAAAGATGCCTGTGAGTCCAAGCGCATAGCCCTAGGCTGTTTTATGGAAATATTACTTAGAAAATAATATAACGACATTGATTTAAAAAAAAAAAAAAACAAAAAAAAAAAAAAAAACAAACAAAAAAAAAAAAAAAACATTTTAACCTGGAGTGTGTTTTAAATAATAAACGAGGCCTGTAGCCATGTATAGCATAAATTCATTAAGTAATAGCAGCTAATAAGACTACAATAGACTACAATAAAGTGAACGTTTTATTAATCAGCTTTAACTCACCTAATGTGTAAATAAATAGCAGTAAACACCCTTTTAAATGCGCCCAAGGCCGCGCCCTGTTATTGTTGCAGCTGTCATTGCGCGTGATTGATGCGTCTAAATGCGTGGCCGCAGGGCTTGAGGCGATCATCAGGTGCAATCTCTGTGTCAAATGTCACGCTTCCATCTTTAATGTCCTTGAACAGTTTAGAAACGCTTTGACACTCCTCAAATTTGTTTCCCATATCAAGTCAATTAGGCCTGTCTCCGGAGGACATTATCAGCAGAGCGGATAAAGACTTATTAAGCTCGCTGTGGTCATGCGTACCCAACACCTCCAGATACCGAAGACCGACGCAAGGGCCCGTAAATAATGGTGGCACGTTTCGTTAAAATACAGTTGTTAAATGCATGAAAATTAACACTGAGTAGGCCTATTATGGACATTTCATCCAATATCTCACTTTAACCTGTCATTTGTGGCTTCAACAACTGTATCTACAAATATGAACTATCTCCTATGTGCATGTGTAACAATGACAAATGTTTGTGGATTTGTAGATACGATTGGTTCGTGGGGAATTCGTTGATGAGTTGGGCTGCCCCGTACCAGACTGGATTGGATTCATTCGCGCTGCCAGGAACAGCCAAGAACAAAACTTAGAAGCAGTGTCCGAGCTCCCTGGAGGCCAGGTGAATTTTTGTCCTTCAAAAAATACACATCTGCACCTCAGAAGTTATTATATATAGAAATGAATTAAGACTGATGTATAAGCTTTTGCAGTCATGAAGTTACATTTTTTTGTTCCTCATCATTTATAGTCTGAATTGATATAGGCCTAATCTAACACTATGAAAACCATTTCATATTACAGATTTTCTATCGCGTGCTGAGAGACATCCCAGCAGGAGAGGAGCTCACTGTGTGGTACTCCAACGCACTGGCACAGTGGTACGACATCCCCACTACAGCTACGCCTACGCACGACGAAAAAGGTATGAGAAAAATGTACAACCATGTATTTCATATCAGATGGAGAGAAAAACAGAGCCATCGACACGTTGAAGGTTCTGTCAAATAGGCCTATAACGGTTTACTCCAGTTAGACATTGTCTGGATGAAAATCAATGTAAAACTTTCATTTTTCTGTCGTTTACCTGATATAAAATCTGTTCAAACCAGCAGGACAATTCAAAAGAAACTCTTAATGCAGTTCTTAATGCAGGCATCAAATTCGTTTTGTAATTTGTTTCAATATAAAAGTTTTTTAGTTAATTTTAGTTAAAACACACTGGTTTGGTTGTCTTATATATATATATATATATATATATATATATATATATATATATATATATATATATATATATATATATATATATAAACCGGCCGCATGTTTTCTATGGGTTTATATGTAGAGTTAATCATAAAATCTGAGATTAAGAAAGATCCCTGAAGAAGTGTTTCCTTTTGAATTCTGCGTCTTAATCCACTGATTTTTAACCCATTTGTTATAACTCTGGTTAATTGTTTGGCGCTTGAGTTTAAAGGGATTAATCTTGGTAAAACACCAGCTCACCAGACACTAATCCGATTACAAACAGGATTAAACATTTAAATTACTTTCTTCGTGGTTTGTGAAAAAAATCGCTACAGAACAAATTAAAATTGACCTAAATGAATACGTACAGTGACTAATTTCAAAAAGGAAATTTGGGATTCATGATAAACAATTAGGCCTATTGCCATTGAAAGTCGGAGATTGTGTAGAGGATTCATTTTTTGCAGAGAGAGGTGTCCAAATGCCACATGCGCTCTTAATATTCATTCACGTATTCAAAGGCAAATAAATTCAAAAACAAGGGCTTCACGGTAAATTAGGTGGGTGCGTTAAGGTATTGTGGCCTAATGAATGCTAACTTTTATGTGGGGTGTATATTGCCCTGATTCTCCGACCCCGACACATCATGAGCGCTCTTGGACATACGCTCGCTTCCATTATGAAGAGTCAACAGATGGGCCGCCGCCATTGTTTCTGAAGACTTGCGATTTCAAGCCACAGCTGCTGTCACTTCCACGGGGAAGAGTATCTCCTCAGCCAGAGCAGGGGGAAACAGAACTGCCGTGAATATCGCGAAGCGCCAGATTGGACTGGGCGTTTGCTCTTTTGGTGCACAATCATAACAATGCCCCCATATAAGGATTACCAAATCATTACAGCTATATTAAAGTCCTGAATGATCCACTGGGGGTCATTACGCAGACCCGTGTTGCCTTACACCAGTTGGCAGGAGATCCTGAAATTCACGTGTCCAAATATAGGTCTCTTTATAAAACTTCATAGTTGGACCGTCTGTTGACTCTCTCGTCTGACCGAATTCAGTTAAACGTTTAAGTTGTAGCCTACATTTTATCTGCGTTCTTTCTTTATATAAAAAACAAACAAACAAACAAACAAAACTAATAATCTTTTTTGTTTATTTTTTCTTATTATTATGGAATTACTTTATTGTGTTCCGTATACACATTTATAAGTAGTTTTATTATAGTCCTCTTTCTTTTGTAAAGGTGAGGAGCGTTACATCTGCTGGTACTGCTGGAGGATCTTCAAATACCCCAACACACTCAAGGCCCACGTGCACTTTCACTGCGCTCTCAGCAACGGGAGGGGCTTCAACAGCGAGCAGCAGCAACAGGCCAGAGGCTCAGAGACATTCAGCAGGTCCCCTAAATCAGGAGACATCCCCAACACAGCCACATCTCCCCGCAATAACAGCTCCACCTCGGTGCCAGACTCCAGCAGACGCGCACTTGCTCCTTCGCCTTTGCTTGTTGCAAAAGCAAAGAAAATCAACACTGAAGACCAGGACAGAGCTCTGGACATGAGTGTGGCATCGTCTCGAAGTCAACCAGGGCATCTGCTCGGTTTGGGGGCATCAGTGTTGAGCAACATGGGGTTCCATCCGGGTGTGCGCTCAGCGTTTAAACCAACCGGCATCTCCAAAGTCACTGATGCAACAACGCGAGAGGACGTAAATGGCAAAATGAGCAGCCTCGGATTCGGTAAACTCATCGGAAACACAAAGCCAATCCGTAATGCAGGAGAGAATCTTAATGGAGGCAGCGGAAGTCATCCTCCTAAATGCCCACCGTCACTTATGGACCCCAATTCTACAATGGTCCCAAATCCACTTAGAGGTTTCCCCTTGCTGCCACATGTGGAGGAGACATCAGCTTTTAAGCACGTTGAGAGCCGTATACACTCAGGCCTATCCCCCTCAAGATACCCACAAATGCCCCCCGGACTGCACTTTGAAAGGTTTTCTTTCTCGCAGTTTGATGGCGTTAAATCCTACCCGGGCGCAGACTGCAACATCCCTCTCATGCCATTTACAGTATACAACGGGGAGCTTCTGTACAGCTCGCCCTATTATCCGCTTAAGTTCCACTTCAGCAACCTGCTCAAGTATCCAGAGAACATGCCGTACTTCGGCGCGCCCGCTCTGAGCCAAGACATGGGCACCATCACCAACATAGACCGGGAGATCGCGATGCATACACAGCAGCTGTCTGAAATTGCAGCGGAGAAGAACAGATCGAGGCTAGACTCCATACCAACAGCCAACACGAGCAACGCAGCACCCGGTAAACCCAAAAAGGGCCATTTATGTTTGTACTGCGGCAAACTATACTCTAGAAAATATGGCCTGAAAATCCATATGAGAACTCACACGGGCTATAAGCCGCTCAAGTGCAAAGTGTGCTTCAGGCCATTTGGAGACCCCAGTAACCTGAACAAACATATCCGTCTCCACGCAGAGGGCAACACGCCATACAGGTGCGACTTCTGTGGCAAAGTGCTAGTGAGGAGACGCGATTTGGAGAGGCACGTGAAGTCCAGACACCCGGGTCAGAGCGTGAAGAAGTTGGATGACAAACCGGGAGGCCTGTTTGAAGACGCTGAGCGAAAGAGCGACAATGAGAGCGACGTGGACGTGTGTTTTACCGACGACCAGAGCGACCAAGAGATGAGCAAAGACTGAGAGCATATAAAAGACTGATCAGTGTCAATGTCACATATACACTCAATAAATATGTATTATACTGTTGTTAAGTTTGTGAGAGGTTTTACGCACAGGCCTCAACTGACTTTCACCGGCACAGTGTTATAATAAAAATTTGGCACGTGCGCCAAAATGAAGGCTACATTTTTGGGACTTCCAGACAGTAGAAATTTTATTTTCTATCTACCAGCTGCAGAATTTTGTACACTGCAGTGACACTAGATTTGAGGGCATTTTCACTGAGGCCTGTCCACAGTATTATCATGGATAAAAACAATCAAAGTCTAGTTTTGACTTCTTTTACCGTGTTTTAAGAACTTTATAGAGGTTGATATAAATGAAAGCGCATCACGAAAGCGCACTACTTTCTCACACATTGCGCACTACACGCTTTAATCGATATTTTACGCATAAATCTGAAAAGAGAAGCGGCCAGTCTCATCTAAAACTGCCATTTGCACTTTAAAGAAACGGCAAGGGCATTTTATTTTCCACCCTCCATGTGATACTTTTTTGGTTAAATGGTTGTTTTCCTATGCCTCTGATTTACTCTGAACTTTAAAACTTGCACTTTCGAGGCGCGAGCTGTTCTGAAAGCAACAGCCACAAACTCTATTATTTTTAAGAGGGAATTATTTCTAGAGAAATTATGTAAAACGTAAAATATACTATTTCTCTTATTTCGATGGAGACGTGTTTCTTTGTTTATATGTCACACTGCTATGGAGGCAATATTTTATTCATGTCTATTATTGCGTCAATGTTTTTTTTTTTTTTTCAAATAAATTATTAAAAAAAATAAAGGACCTGTTTGAAATTGTGTGTTAATATTAATCAGTAAATGACATGTGAGTAGTCCATAAGGCTATGCATGTTACCTACTTTAAATAATAAAACAAGAATAAGCAAATCATTATTAGGGCATGGTATGAAAGAGGAGTTGAGCGTTAATTAAGTTGGTAAAAAAAAAAAAGGGGGTGGTGGTGATGGGGGAGTGGGAGGGGGGGAAAGTACAAATATGAACAAAATAAAAGATATAAATACACAAATATATGCTAAAAACGAAAGCATCTAAAATTGAAATAAACTGTACATTATTATAGATCTATTGCTCAGTTTATCAATAAATTAAAGATTATACTGTTGATTGGAAATATGTTATTTTTCTAAAATAATTAAACGAAAGGAAAAATCTTTCTTTGCCCTTTCTCTGTATGGTACAGCGATGATGGTTGTGACGGATCACAAAACCTGTCACTTGTGATTTGGTTGTGGAGTGTGTACAGACTTCATACAGAGAAAAGAGAGAGCAGCTAAGTCTCCAGGCGTCAGTCACTGTCACAGGGAGCAAACTAAAGCATCACACTGCCACATGAGTTATATTTGAGTTATTCCTGGCCCTGTGGTAATGCCAGCATGAAATGAAGAAAAATACAAAGATGAAAATGAAAACATTGGCAAATTATGCTCATGGTACATTTTATTTTGCTCTTTTAGTAACAAATATCAGATCTGTATTTTTTTTTTTAAATTTGGTTTCACTCATATAAGATGATTGCACCACATGTTGACATAAGCCTCACTACAATACTTACATAAATTCAAAAGTTAAATAGTCTCACTTTGATCAAATCTTTCTTTTAACTATTTCCTGTATACGTGAGTTTCTTTTCTGACCAATTATTCTGATGAATTTCCTGTTTTAGCACTCTTCGTGAATGTGTGCTTCGCATCATTTTGGACCAAATCCAGCTGCTATTGTTTTTAAATTCACTCCCCCTTCTCTCCCCTCCCACCAGCATTTACAATCAATTAGTGCTGTTCATTAGTAAAGACACTGGAAAAAGGCTTTGATTGAGAGAGTTTGACTCCCGGGCGGCACAGAATCCGATCCAAAAGCAGACTTCACATGCAGCAGATGCACTTCACTGTTTGTTTGTTTGCTCGGCAGAGATCCAGCCTTCTCCAAAACCTGGTGCGGATATCCTTGATCATACAATACCAGTTTTGAGCATCTTGCTTGCCTTGCTTCACCAAACAGACAAGATAGCAAGTAGAAGTTCAAGTCAAGGTTTCAAAAGACAAACCAGTGTGCTTATGTGTGTGGGGCAGTATTACTAAATTTGTGGGGACACAAGATATTTTTGGCGACGTGCTTCCATATTGGGGACCAAAAGGCAGGTATCAGAGTTAGATCAACAACACGCTTATAGTTAAGACATGAGTCAAATTTAAAGGTGCACTATGCAACTTTTCTGGTGGATGGTCTGCCACCTACTTGTCTCCATGGAGATGTAATTGCTTTTCCTTGAATGAAAAATACAATCATTTCTTTTATGAACAGGGGTGACTCTCAACAGATCTGAATTGTAATGTAGCTATGCTGCAACCTGCTTGTCTCCCTTGTGATAAAAAGATTTAATCTATACTGTGGAATATTCTAGACAAAGCATTAACATTTCCACGGAGACAAGTACTCTCCACTAGAAATGTTACGCAGTGCACCTTTAAGCTATGGTTAAGGCCAAGTTAAGCTTGGGACATATATGGTTAAGTTCTGTGTTCAGGAAATTGATTAATATTATGCTTCTTATGTGTGCTAACATCAAATGCATTAGAATTGGTGTGAACTAAATTTGATCGAGACAGACTGTGAATTTTCATATGCATGTTTAGATCAAGGTTAAGCACTACACAAAAGTTCACAATAGATGTTCATTGCTTAAAACATCTTTCTACCCCCACACCACACCAGGCCACTCGGTCATATACTATGTGGACTGAATTGAATCCCTTAATAAAAAAATGTGTCTGACAGGCCTGCGTCTCTCTCATGACATTGAATTCCTTACACTCCATTCATATCTGCACTCTTTGTCCTTTGTAGCATGATAAAAGTTTGGTAGTTATACGTCCCTCAAATGTCCATGTTGCATCAAACACTCAAACTCTATTCAACCAGGCATGTACAGGTACAATGGTGACAATTTGTGTGATTTGAAATGGAAATAGTTGTGTTTTTCAGAACAGCAACTGCGGAATAGTATTCTTTTGACCTAGGAGGCTACACAAGATATTTGAACTTTTTTTTTTAGCTCAGTGCTTCATCTAACTTTTGTCTAGACCCAAAGACATGCCTTGAACCAGAACTGTTGTTATGTTCTTATTATACAGATTAAAAAAATAAATCTCATCAGTAACTGGCACACTTCCATATTTGGACAACAATATTTTGATCTCACAGAAAAATATAATCTAGAAATGACTTAAACCTAATCTTAAAATTCAACCAATTGCCCAACTATAAACAGATGCACAAGAAAATGAACACTGATGACTGTATTGCCAGTTCTGTCTTTTACTATTTTAATTTATATTTAAGTATTTTTATAATGCACAAATAAGTAGAAACTACTCCTCATGCAGTAAACTCAAACATGAGAAATATAAGATATTTTGTATTGTGTCCAACATGGTTGAGTCAGTGTTATGCCTCATTTGTCCTGGAGTGATCCAATGTTGGCAAGGTTTCAGAGTCAGCACAAGACATTTTTAGTTACTGATCTGACACACAAAAATTTAAGTTTAAAGTTAAAAATGGGGCAGTTAAAAATCTTAGTGTCACAAACCAGTACCATCAAATAGGGAAATCAGTGGGAATCAAAGCATATTGATGACTTTAAAATTGTATTTACTTTTGAAACCTTTTTCTACCAAAGCCTAGTTGACAAACAACTGCTTCTCTGCATGTAGGCAAGGATTATGGTTCAGAGTCTATCCAATGTGTTGTTTTGTTTCTACTCTGCTGCTGTGAGCCCCTCTCCCAGAGCAGGTAAACCAGACACAGTCAACATACACAGCTGGTCATACTGCACCTCCGAGTCATGGACAAATAGGCTCCCATGCCTCAAACATAGAGTGACCTGGGACAGTCAAAACGCATACACACAGGGCGGGAGAATGAGAAGTGACGGGGCTTTTGCAGGTGAACCAGGTAGAGTAAACAAACTCAGCTGGTCACATGGAGCCCAAAGAAGACAAGATGTCATCATGGCAGGAGGCACTGGCCACGGAAGTATGTATATTCTCCAAGGCTACATTAAAGCAAAACATTAGAATAAAATAAATGCAGGGGTTTTAATCGCCATATGAAATAAACAAAAAAGTGTGTATGTAAATCAATTATGTATGCCATAAATACTTTATTGTCCCCACAGGTAAATTAGTCCTCTGCATTTGACCAATTTTTCAATATTGCTGGGACAATTTTGTCAGGGGCAATAAGCGCCGCATTGTGCTCCAGGTGCCCGTCTCCACATCTTAAGGTATTGATCAGAACTAATTTGGCTGGAGTTTTTTACCAACTGTACACGTGTAACCAGCGGGTAGGTTAGGGGTTCCCACGTAATATCTTCCAATAAAATACAGGTAAGTCTGGCAAAACAAAGGACAAAAGCAATATATAGTGGGACTTGTACAATTTTTTTTATTTAAACAATCATATTTAAAATGGTTTCTTTTATGGCTTAATAAAATTGCAAATTCCAATAGAAAGTGCTGTAATTGATTGTCAATCTATACAGTGTTTAAGTATAACAGGACTAAGGTGCATTGGGTTTTAGAGGGTTAAAGTGCACTGTGCTAGGAGCCTATTTTGCACTAACCTCTATTGCATCAATAATCCCGAAATAAGCATTTAATAAACTACAACTACATTCTAAAGTTACTATAACCAGGAGAAACTGAGAGCAGAGCTACAAGCAGCAGGGCAATCTAGCACTCCAAAACTCTTGCCCCACACGGGGCTTGGGACGCGATCGAAGCGGCTGCCGTCACCACCGCCAACTCCTGTACAGCGCGCGCGCATACAGCTCCCCGCCTGCAGCCCTCACAACACGAGGCGCGCGCACCTTTTTCGAGTTTCCAATCAGGGACACCGGGTGCGCCACGCACTGTGTCGCATTTGGGGACCACCTTGA